CCATATTTCGCACCATGAGGAACCATATAAAAGAAATGGCCCCGAGTTCCCGGCGCCCCTTTAATGGGGCAGGGGTGTGAAGAATCTCCGGGAGGAAAACCGGTGACGAGGTTCGCCACCCGTCACGTTCTGACTCCCGGAGAGGTGAAAAGTGGATTGCAGAGGCCCGTCTGGCTACGTTGAATGTATGTGGGGCAATGAATGATAAAATGGATGAAGTATGCGATATGATGTATGATAGAGGAATAGATGTGTTATGTGTAAATGAGACGAAAAGGAAGGGGAAGGATGTCACTACACAAGGCATGTATACCGCATACTGGTCCGGTGTAGACGAGATCGAGCGGGCATGCCAGGGAGTAGGTGTCATCCTTTCAGAAAGAATGGGCCAATGTGTGAAAGAGTATGAATGTGTAAGCCCAAGACTGCTATGGATACGAATGAAAGTGGGCTTAAAGAAGTTGTTTGTGTTAGGGGTCTACGCCCTAGACATGTCTAAGCCCAATTATATCCGAGAGCAGTTTTGGGAAATGGTAAGGATAGTGTTAATGAAGTGTAAGGGAAATGAAAATATTATTATGCTAGGAGATTTTAATGGAAGGGTTGGGGTGAGGAGGCTTGGTTATGAAAGGATATTGGGAACGTTTGGTGATGAAAGTATAAATGAGAATGGTGAAAGTCTCCTCACCGCATGTGTGGAAAAGAATCTTTTTGTGACGAACACTTGCTTTCGTCACAAGAGGATTCACATGTATACTTGGGAAAGAGGTGACGATAGAAGCATGATAGATTTCATAATTGTGGATGAAAGATTGAGGGGCGCAGTGGTAGATACAAGGGTTTACCGAGGTTCTAACGTAGGAACGGATCATTATTTGGTTTTATGCCGAATTAATGGTCTATTCAGGCGTTGGCGCCATCGATCATCTGTGTCTACCACTGCGTTACAGCGTATTAGAACAGAAAGGTTACAAGATGAAGGTGAGAAAAACAAGTTCAAATGTAGACTGAAAGAAAATATAAGTGGTTTGGATGAATTATGTATGAAGGAGTTAGACTTGGAGAATGTATGGCAAAACGTAAAGAAAGGTTTAGTGGATGCAGCTACCGAAGTATGTGGTGTTAGTAAGAGAAAGAATGAAAGGAAAATAATACGTTATGGTGAGATGATGAGATACGTATGGAAGTTGAAGCAAAGAAGAGAGCATGGCTAGATTTACTAGCAACAAAGGCTGGTAATTCTAGCAGCACGAATGATTATATCGAAAGAAAAAAGGCAGTCTTTAGACATCTTAATAAGAGAGTAAAAGAAGTAGTTGAAAGAAAAAAGCAAGAAAGAACGGATAAGAATGATAGAAGAATATCGGATAACTTCCAAGCAAATATTAAAATGTTCTGGAAACTTGTAAGAACTGCCAGGGGACATTCAAAACAGCCTATGATGAATGCTATAAGAGACGAGAATGGCTATATTCTGAATGATGAATGAATTTTGAGTTTAAAGAGATGGAAGGAATATTTTGAAACCGTGTTTATGAGTGAGGAGACAACGTGTGTACTAAGTGAAGTAGAAACACCGAAAGAAGAGGAAAGAGGTAGCGAGATAAGTATAGATGAAATAATGAAAAGCATGAAAGCAGGTAAGGCTGCCGGATATGATAGAGTTTCACTCGAAATGCTAAGGGCTGGAGAGGAAGTCGTGGCAGGCCTGCTGCACACCTTGTTTAATTTATGCTGGGAACTGAAGCGGGTACCGGTAGACTGGTGAAAAGCCGTGATAGTTCCAGTATATAAGGGAAAAGGGTCGCGGCAGGACTGTAAAAACTACCGTGGCATCAGCCTTCTTAGCATTGTGGGAAAACTGTATGCTAAGGTACTTATTGAAAGGGTCATGAAAGAAACTGATGGAAAAGTTTGGGATGTGCAAGCGGGATTTAGGAAGGGTATGGGATGTACAGATCAAGTATTTTCCATGCGCATGATCGCGGAGAAGTTTTTGGCCAAAAACCAAAAGGTTTTTTGTGCGTTCATGGACTTGGAAAAGGCCTATGACAGAGTTGATAGGGATGTGCTATGGCAAACGCTGAACTGATTTGGGTTGAGCACTGGCTTAATAGAGGCATTGGAATCTCTTTATAGGGACTCTAGTGCTTGTGTTAGGGTCAACGGGGTCTACTCGGACTGATTTGACATCCATAAAGGTGTCAGACGGGGCTGTGTGGCTTCCCCGTGGCTGTTCAACCTATTTATGGACAGTTGTTTGCAAAATTTGAAAGTTGAAGAATGCGGATTAAGAATGGGTGAGTTAACCGTCAAATGCCTTTTGTACGCCGATGATCAAGTTATCCTTGCGTCGTCGGCGGCCGAGTTGCAAATGATGGTTACATTAATGAACAGATCATTAAAATAAAGGGGTATGAAAGTGAACGCAAGTAAGACGAAGGTTATGGTTTTTGAAAGAGAAGAAATTAAAACGATTTGTGAAATAAGAATAGAAGGGGAGTTGATCGAGCAAGTAGATGAGTTTGTATATTTGGGCTGCGTATTTAGCAGGGACGGGAGATATGATAAGGACATAGAACGACGAGTGAATGCGGGAAATAGAGTAAATAAGGCCCTGCACTCTATTGTGAAGAGTCAAAATGTGTCAAAAAGGCACGTATTGCAATTCACAATGCTGTGTTGGTCCCTACTTTAACGTATGGTAGTGAAAGTTGGGTGTGGCAGAAGAAGCACGAGAGTAGAATCAACGCAGTAGAAATGCGGTCGTTAAGGAGTATGTTAGGGCTGAATCTGAACGACAGGGTAAGAAATTGTGTAATAAGAGAAGAGCGTGGTTTGCAAGATGATGTTGTGACCAGGATTAAGAAAGGAATGCTTCGGTGGTTTGGTCATGTGGAAAGAATGAATGAGGAAAGAGTGACAAAGAAAATTTATGTTGCAGAAGTGAATGGCAGAGTCGCAAAAGGGACGTCCTAGGCAAAAATTTATCGACCAAATTGGCGATTTATTGAAAACGGGGCAAATTAGGAGTACCCTTAACCGACGAGCATGTATGTGTAGGTGTATGGATGTGAAGGAGGCGTTCTCCGTTCGTTCTGCATTAACCGTTCTTTGTCCCTCAAGAGTAATAGTCGTAACATGGCCGGTTTTGGAGACAAACGTGGCCACCATTTTTTTTGCAACACTCCATGAACAAACAATTTTTGTTGGCTTTAACTCATTTTGAACAACTGATACGATGTTGTATACAGCATTTGAGGATCCTGCGTGGAATCTTTCGAGAGTTCTGACGCACCAAGTAACGCGAGCCGCTTTTTGCTCTTCACAGAGCGAATGCGGTATCCATCGGGAAAACAACTTTTTTACACCTAATTGTTCATGCAAGATTATTTGTATTTAAGTTATGGCAATGTCTAAAGTTGCCTGAATTTCGCGGTATGTCACACGTCGATCTTCCTCAATCAGCTTACGCACAGCATCAACGTTTTCTTGGGTGACTACAGTTTTTGGACGACCTTGACGGGGATCATCACTGAGCATGACACGTCCACGTTGAAATTCAGCAAACCAGCGATAAATTGTGGTTTTGGATGGGGCTTCATCACCAAATACAGAAATCATCCGGCCAACACACTGTTTTTGTGTTAAACCACTTCGAAAGTCATAAGTCGTAATAAATCATCGCTCTTGAATTTTCTCGAGTCAATTCCATTTTCTCAACGACTAAACAAGTTTGACAAAACCTTGTGACAAGACCGAGAGTCTTTTTTTAAATAAATAAATGGTATTCGATTTTTAAAACCAAGGAGTTTTCAATTAAAAAGATTTTAATATGACAGGAACAGTGGAAATATTCCATTCCCGATACTTTTAGTGCAGCCTCTGTATTATAATATTTAACTAGTGTTAAATAAAGACTGAGTTTCGTTACGAAGGTTTACGCGAGTTAGTTATCTAGGTAGTAGGTAGTTAGTGTTGTGAGTGAAAATTCCAAATGTTTGACTGTTTGTGTAGTGTTGTTAGCGTTTGAAACAGAATACATACAAATTGGAATAAAACAACTGAAATGGATATACAACGCCAAAAAAGTGAAATAATATGGAACTTTTTTACGGATAGCGATACCGTAAAAAAATTGGTACATGTAAAAAAACTATTTCATACAAGAGCTCCGTTTCAAATTTAAAATCTCACATGAAGTTTAAGCATCCTACTATTAATATCCAACAGGCACAACAACAAAGTGCTTGTACATTATCTGAGTCTGAGTGTTCCGTTAGTTCTCAACAGACTGTTCCTATTACTGAAAATGCCCCCAGTACTTCAAGTTCTTCGGGTACTAATAATGAGTTTTTGCCACCACCAGCAAAGCAGAGAAAAATTCAACCAAGTGTATCAATTTATGCCGTAAAAAATGACGTTAAAAGAGAAACAACGACTCAATTATTATTTAATGCAGCTTTTCATACTTGTTTTCAACCATTTTCAATTCTAGAAGACGTTGGCTTTATCCAATACTCAAATGCTTTAAATTCGTCATAAACGCTTCCATCTCGAAAATATCTATCAAATACACTTTTACCAACAATGTATGAACAGTGTAGAACAGAGGTGCAAGAAGTACGAATTAAAGAAGTCGAAACAATCTGCATTACGACTGACAATTGGACTTCGGCTAGAAATGATAGTTTTATGGCTGTTACTGGGCATTTTATAAATAAAAAATTTGATTTGGAATCGATTGTTTTGGACTGTGAAGTAATTTTAGGTCCTTCCAATAGTGAAAATACAGCATCTCAGTTAAAAAGTATTACCGATTCTTGGGGTATTTCAGTTAAGGTTTCCTCGATACAGGCTTGCTTAGTGAGGAAACCAACAGATATTACCTTTTGTACATATTTTTCTGTTAATAAAATATTTTTCATTTCATTTTCATTTCATTTCATTTCAAAATCAATTTAGCTGTTTCTGATAACGCGGCTTACATCAAGAAAGCCATGTCACAGGAGCTAGGGTGGAAACATTTCAGATGTGCAGCATACACAATAAAGTTGATAGTGCAAGAAGCGACGGAAAAATCTGTACCCATCAAGTCTGTGATTGAACGTGTGAAACTCATCGTCGCTTATTTCAAGCGAAGCAGTAAAGCCAATCAAAAACTTGATGAGTTTCAAAAGCAAAATGGAGCAACACAGCCAAAACGACTGCTTCAAGAAGTCCCAACGAGGTGGAATTCCAAATTCTACATGCTCGAAAGGATCGTAGAAATTCAAGATGCCGTCAAGTCATCCATTGCCATTTTGGGTGTTACAAGCTTACCAAATTTAATGCCGCAAGACTGGTTACTTTGCAACGAAACTTGTAAAGCCCTGAAATGTTTTGAAGGAGCATCAAATTATCTGAGTGGTGAAAAGTATTTGACGGCCAGTCAACTATTAATAATCATAAAAGGCATAAACAGAGTTCTCAGCTATATTTTAAGCTCAGATTCTTCCGGTTATCACTATCTGCCAATAACATATGATTTTGTTCGAGCTTTGTTAGATTCAACTCATAGTCGTTTCGAAAATATAGAAAATAGTAACACGATTGGGGTAGCTACTTTTTTAGATCCCCGCTTTAAGTTACAGCCCTTTACATCTTCAAAGCAAACAACTTTGAGGGAGAACATGATCAAACTTGTCGCTCAAGAAATAAATCGAGAAGGACTATGTGAAAATATTGAAGTTAGCAAAAGTTCGCTTGATCCCACCTCAATATTTTACGACTGGGATGCTAGGGAGGCTGTACCGCAATCAATTGAGTCACCAACTGCACGAGCAATAATAGAAATAGACAAATATTTGAATGAAAAAGTGATTACTTGCAATAATTTACCGTTGAGCTGGTGGAAGCAGAACCAAGGCATTTTTCCACATTTGGCTAAGTTGGTTCGAAACAAATTTAATGTACTTTGTACTTCTGTTTCTTGCGAAAGACTTTTTTCGCGAACTGGTTACATAATTTCACAACGAAGAACTCGCCTTGGAGTCCAAAAAGTCAAACAATTATCATTTTTAAATGAAAATAAAAAATATATAACATTTTAAGATATGTTATGTTACTAAGTGATAAGTAGATATAAGAAAAAAAAACAAAAGATAAAAAAACAAGAAAAAAAGATTATTATATAAAAATTACGAATACTAAAAAAACAGATATGAAAAAAAAAGAAAAGAAATCGTTGTAAATAAATTGATTCTCATTATAAATACGCCAACAGAAAAAGTTGACAGTCCTAAGCCTGTGAAGAGTATGAAGGAAATGAGAATTAATTATGTGTTAAAAATCTGTCTGTGACTAAATTTAACAGTTGCTAAAAATAACTGCTAATTTTAACTGTTAATTATTTTAGCATTAGCATTTAAATGATAATAAAAATAAAATATCTTTATTACAGGCGAAAGAAAACACATATAATATGTTAGTAAAATTGAAGTGAAATGAAATATAACTATTATGAATTTTAGTGTTAGTAATCAATTTAATTTAAATAAATATAATAAACACAAATATAAATTAAGATTTTGAGATATCTGCTAAGATGACACCGGCGTTTTATACCTTGGCATGAAGCCGTATCCAGTGCTCAAGCAGCGGCGAGTCCCATCTATATGCCATTATGTTAAGAATGCTATTCGTGCTGCTCCGCAAACGCTTCAGCATCGCTGCAACACGCTTTCTAATAATGGCGTGGAAACCATCAGTGTGCATTTCAGTAAACATTCCTGACGCACTGCAAAAGCGAGGCAGCCCCATCAGTAATCCTAAATCCATTATTATACTCGACACGCAACGCGCTGTACATCCACTGCGTATAGTTAACCCATAGGTTGCCCGTGTAAAAAGACTGGCAGTAGGTTTTGAAAATAGTAATCTTTACCTGCCTACTGCAACGAGCAAACCTTCGGGCCACCATGTTACATCGGATGGACAGCGCCCTGCGTTCCCGCTCGATATCCATATCATCACGCAGATTCTCAGTGACCCAGTGACCCAGATACTTAAAATGTGAGACACGCTTTAGAGGTGAGTTGTTGAGTGTGAAGGTAGTCGCACTTGGTCGGGACTTGACTCCTGCCTTGAACACCATGAATTCACTCTTTTTCACATTGTATCGGAGTCCATGGGACACTGCATATGCTTCACATACTTTTAATAGTTTTTGCATGGCACCAATCGAAGGGCTGAGCAGCACCATGTCGTCTGCGTAACTTATGTTATTAATACATACACCATCAATATGACAGCCTACATTTGTTCCGCTCAGCTCGTCGATCAGACCATTAATGTACATATTGAAGAGCCTAGGAGATGTAAGACCACCTTGCCTCACCCCACATTCAAGTCTATATACATCAGAGTATGAGCTCGCCCATCTAACACAGTTGCTCTGCCGCTCATACCACGATCGTAGCACCGCAACTACCTCGTGCGGCACATCAGTCTCATTTTGAAGTTTTTTCCATAATATGTCATATGACACCAAATCGTAGGCCATGGACAGGTCAAGAAAACAGGCAAAAACTGGAGTGCTCCTATCAGTGTAGTATTTGACAGTTTGCTTGAGACACAAGATAGCGCTTTCGGTGGACAGACCTGGTTGAAAACCAAATTGCGCATCATTAAATTTTAAATAACCACTTAAGTGTTGATCAAGAAAACTGTCCAGCAGCCTTGCCACCACAGTAGCCAGTGAGATTGGTCTGTAATTTGTCAAGTCCGATGGATCTCCCGACTTGTTCTTAATAACAGGCACAACAATGGTTCGCATAAGGTCATCAGGCAGGTAAGAGTGGCTGAGACAGAGGTTATATAACAAAGATAAGACCCTTGGTAGATGGATTCCTGCGCACTGCAGATGCTCTATGCTGAGATAGTCGTGACCAGGCGATTTACCCCGTACCATGCTCTTAATTACGCGGTCCACATCCTTCGCCGCGAATCTAACTTTAATTTGGTCAGCACAACGCCCATCATCACACATCGCAGCTGCAGGCCGAAGAGGCGAGCTCACCTTGAAGTGATCTTGGAAGGCCTTAGCTATCTCACTGTGCTCATGAAAGCCAGCGACGCTCACCGGAAGGCTCAATGCTGAGTTTAATTTATTTGTAGCCTTCCAAAAGCGCTTAAAATCCTTACTAACACGGTATTGTGCAATCATGTCCATTTTAATTTATTGCTGATTGTTTTGACACCATTTCAGCTTAGACTTAAATACCCTACTAGATTCCACCATATACACGTATACTGGACCAGCACTCGGCTTACCGTAGAGCTGCCATATATGTAGACAATTCCGAACGTACCGGTGAGCGTCACTGACATGTTTATTCCATCCGATGACATGTTTGTACTTTTTCTTATTATTTTTACTTATACGATTACTACAAATTTTAGCACCTTCTGTGAGGATACTAATTATATTTTTGTACAATTTATCAATAGTTTCTCTATGACTACTATCAGAACACATTTTATCTGCACAACTCGTGAGTTCCAAAGGAAAATTTATGTTTCTAAGTTTACAATGACAGTATTCTCCTATATTTATCTATGTGAGAGGAGTTTCTGTCGCCCCATATTACATCATTAATATTTAAGCTACCATGCATAACTTTAGGTGCTATTACATCGGTGTTTAATATAATTTCAATAGGGTAGTGATCCGACCAAAAAGTGTCATATATGACAGACACATGTGCCACTGTGTTCCGAGCGGCACTTGTCACAATACAATGGTCAAGCCATCGTCTTCAGGCATGCGCATCACTCACGAAAGTGTATGTGTTTGCCGGCAATAAGTCCAACTCTATGCAAGACCAACATTGTTCAGCACAAGAGTCAATAAGTTCATAGTAAAACCGCTCACCTGGATGTTCGTTGAAGTCACCAAGTATGTACGCGGATTCAACACCACAGCTCTCTATAATGGCACTAACCTCACTGAGACACTTAGTAAACTCTGGTATATATTCACTTGAATCGGTTGGCATGTACACTGACACTACAAGGAATGACTTATCTTCAAGAACTATTTTGATTGCCACGAGCCGTACACTACTACACGGTATCACCGACACCGACGTAAGCAGGTTCTTCCTCCACAGAAGAGCTACGCCGCCGTACGGCCTCCCACGAAGCAACCCAGCTGAGGTGTCCACTGCGGACACACCTGTGTAGGCGAAATCATCATCTATAGATCCCAAGAACGAAATATCATGAAGCAGGAGCCATGTCTCTTGCAACGCCACCACGTCCGCTGTGCGACATATTTTTCTCACATAGTCTAATGATCTAATAACATTCTTGCAATTGAAGCTAACGAATTGTATTGTTTGTGTATTATTCATAGTGCATATATGTTATTCCTCGACAGACCCACGCTTTCTGAGCCTTTTTTCACCAAAATTGATAAAACGGCGATAAGCAATTCCATCAGGCCAAAAGTCATCCTTCAAAAATATATCTACTTTATGGTTAGGCACGTAGATCTTGTATGCATCATAATTTTTCTCTACCTTCATAACCATTTTTTCTATAGTCACCTTTATGTTTACCTTATTCTCAATGTAATTCAGTATGTCACACATGGACACCTCCTTCGACACGTTATAAATATAAATAGGAGTGTTGACAACCGCTGCTCTGAATCTCTCCGATTTTGATTTGGCTCTCTTGAAGCTTTTCCTATATTTCCTACAAAGCGGTTTTAACTCTTTTGCGTTGCACTTGCATTTAGCAGTGTTATTATTTTTGAACGTTTAAGCCCATCTCTACAGTTTGACATAAGATTGTTGTTTTTATTATTCGTTCGAGAGATCAGGCATAGGAACTAAGCCATACAGCCTTGTCTTTTTTAATTTGGATATATATAATTTTTAAGTGTAAAGGCCGGAACCAAGTCTTATTTTCTTTAATTCTTCATATTTTCAAAAACCGTAAAGGGTAAGTCAAGTCTTTATATTATAATCTTTATGAGTTTCAATCAATATAGATTTATCATTCCAATATTTATAAAAACAGGAATACCATATTTCATATTTCTTTTGCAGTATTAGGAATAAAATTGCAAAATGCTAAATTTGTATAAGTTTTTCAATGAGTAGCAATCTTTCTATGGCGTACGCTGAACAGTTAAATATTATATGTTCTTCAGTCTGATTTGCTTCTGTATCACAGAAGTTGCATGTTGCAGATGCTAATATTTTCATCCTAGAAAGATGAGCGTTCAGTCGATAATGGCCAAATCTAAGTCTGCACATTATTGTATAAAATTTTCTGCTATGATATATATTCGTTGCGAGAAAACCGAGGAATACTTAATTCTGAATTAATTGGTGAATACCAACGACCTTTTCCTGCCTCGAAGACAGCATCCCATTGCATTTTCCATTCTTGTTTTATCTGTTGCTTCTGTATGTGGTATTGCCACACCGGTTAACTGTCAATGATCTGTCATTTGATTTTGATTATTTGATATTATGTATGAATGGCGTCGGTTGGTACTTTTGTGATTGTGTGTATTGTGAATTCATCATGTCAAACACAGTGCTGTGATAAAAGAGTGCTGTTGCCATTTCGTAATAAGGATACATATCATTAACTGCTGCGTACCTACCAACACAGTTATGAAGGTTGATCATTGAAATAGTATCATTTGTTACAATTACGGTATACACCATCTTCTAGCGAATCAAAGGTAAACTTATTTTCGTTTTTCATCACAGGTGACTTTACTTTTACTTATGTACACTAGGTATATAAGATAATAACAGTTAAGGTTAGCTCTACTCTTAATAATAAAACATTTGAAAAATAGGAAGGATTCAAAATACGCTTTCTAGTAATTCCATAAGAAGTTACGTTTCTGTGAAAGGAGTTGCATATTTTCTGCTTGAGTCACTACATACGTCGTCCAAATGTTGTCCTCGTTAATTGATGCGCATTCTTTGTGCCGCAATTGTCCGTGGCAATTAATTTTATAGAATGCTTCCACATGACATGGTCTGAGTCAGTAGTTATTTAGTGTTAATATCTAAATTACTATTTATACTACCTTTTCCTCGCGACTTCGTCCGTTTGGAATTTATTATGGTTGAATTTCATAGGTTTTAATTTTTTTGTGCAGAACCTTAATTCCTTATTTAAAATAGAGTTGCCTAAGTTACTCCTTATTATATCAGTAAATTGTCAATGAAAACCCCATCAAAATCATCATTCAGTATTTTAGGTGCATTAATAACTGGTTTAAAGAGGTTTTAGTTATAGTTATTTAAAACCGATAAGATTTTCGATATGTAGAAACAATAACCAAAACATTTAAATGTTTATTTTATTTTGTACGGCTCTTTGTTTCTAACGGATCTTGATAAAGTGTACTTACTGACGATAAATTTTATTTTATGAATGAAATATCGTAAGTTTTTATTTTACTTTTATGTCCTTACAATCAATACAACATATTCTTCCTAAATGAACCGAAATTATGCATGTAATAATTCTACTTTTTCACTTGCAAACATTTGCTAAAAATTCGACAATAGACAGTTTGCGTGTGCTTTGTAAACTCATATTCAAAACCTTTTTGTGTATATATTTTATATCGTCTTCCTTTATTTTTCTTATACAATCATATAGATATAACATTTAGCAATTCCTAGTAAAAGTATTTACTATGGTATTCCAATAAGAATTATACTTTATTATTTTATTAGAATCTTATTAGAAATCTTGACCGTTATGAATTGTTCGTGTAGAATTTTTTTATTTCTACTTTTTTATCAATTGAAACATAAAAAGTTACTGTTGTAACTTAAATCATTCAAAAACATTACATAGTAAAGATAAATAACATTACTTACAGTTTTTTTTGAAAGAAAATCCAACTAAAATCACAATCACAAAACTTCAACAACTATGCAACTAACCGCACCGGCATGCAAAAGTGAATGGCTGTTATATTTGATTTTGTCTATGTAACCGAGTGAATATAATTCTTCAGAATATTCTTTAGTTCGTTCAGAATCGAATGAAATAGTGTTCAATCGAAAATATACTGTATTTTTATATCAATTAATGACGAAAATAGCAGCACATAATGCGGACATGTATACATGTCCTCTGTACTCAGCGGTCACAAAACGTGGACATGTCAACATGTCCACGGTACCTCAAGGCTTTAATGAGACACTTTAATACTAAACCAAACAGTGTTAAATTATGTTTTCAAAAAATTTACTTAACTGGCAATAATTATGAATGACTAAAAATACACAAAAGGAGCTACTAACAATGGGAAACAATTAATCTAAGCTAGCAACTAAAATTCCAAGTGTCCGAATTAAATACTAAATTGGATGAAAAAAATACTGAGTGAGCGACAAAAATATTAAGTGAGTGACTACATAACCGGTTTGAGTTAATACATGAAGTGCTTCATCAAATACTATTTTGGGATGTGTTTGTGAGCTGCAGTAATAATATTGCTAGATATTGTAATATATTTTCTATTCTAGCTTAATATTCTCCTGAAAATAGCATACAAGGTTTATTCGGCTCCTACAAATTTAGGGGGAGGAGCTATGAGATGACAAATACTGTGCAGAGCGGGAGTTTGGGTGCACTTGGGTGCATTCAGATGATGTATCATGTGGCACACTTGCATACAATAATTTGTTTACTTTTTGATATGATGTAAAATTTAAGTGCGCCGCTGGCTATAAAATTAATTTCTTTACTTCTTTGAACTAAGTGCAAATGCTGTTAATTGTTAATATGTGTGGAAGATCATAGTTTACCAGGTACTAGTGATATTTCAAATGCTAAAATAGTGTACCTATCCAGGAATCTAAGAGTGAAATGGAAAATTAGGTACCGAAGAAGCAAAAAAGGGATTAATGTTGGATAGTCTTTCTACAATGTAAGAATGCAGAAGCTGAAGTGGGGTTGGCTATAGACGTCCAGTACTTGATTTTAATAATGTTTTTAAATTAGGGGGCTTGATAGGGTTAAGCTTAAATCTATTACACAGTTTTTAGATGTCAAAAATGTGTTACGAGTTAATTACGATAATAATAAATTTCACTATAAATTGCATATAATGAAACGCATGCAAATATGTCAATTTGTTTTTGGCACGGTTACACTCATAAAAAAGTTAATTAGTAGCGGAAGATGTAACTCATATACAACAAATTGACTCGCAGTGGAGAGCAGTCAAGAGGTTTTATCAGAAAACAAAATTATAACAATTCACATTACATTGTTTCATTTACCACTATCATAGCTGAGTTTAGGGCAACCTGTCTTAATAGATAGATTGATTGAATCTGTTCTAAAACCGAATCAACATGCCCTGACTCCACATAGTCATGTCTGCCTAACCCCTATGGTGTTTTGCATAGGGAGAGCAGCCTCCACCCGCCGTATCGAATTGCAGGCACCTGTGTGTGAGCCGTAGCGGCTGAGGTTGCTCACCGTCGCCCAGGCGACCAATTAGTTAAAGCTGCGGTGAGCATGGGTGCCTGCGATTTGCTACGCAAGGGCTGCACTTCCTGTAATGCCGTAATGAAGTAATTTTGGGTCAATGTTCCTGTGTAAAAATAGAGGTTATGATTTTTCAAAGGAAAACATTACTCATAAACTATACATTTTCGAAAGGGGGAAGGGTTTCGAGAGGTGGCTTCACATGCAGCCCTTATTATTGGCAGCCACAATATTATTGGCACCCAGGATAGTTATGGTAATGCCGAGAAAACTAAAACAAATTAAAAAACTGTTTGACCTATTGGAAGCTTACGTTTTGGCCGAGAAAAGTATTAAAGTAAATAAAATATTGTTCCGATTCTACAAATAAAATATATACGATTTGCAATGAAAATGCAGAGGGTAGTGCAAACTACAATAATCCATGGAAAACCTTTGCTGAACATAAAAAATATCATACTCAAAACTAATAAAGTAAAAGTAAATTTACTTCACTTTCCAAGCACTTACATACCTATACTTGTCTTTGTTAACTGGATTTTAACTAAGTAGAATACGATCGCATTTCATTTAGGAATCGTATTTTGGGTTTATTTGTTGTTTATACTATCTACCTATTTCTTCCGAGCCAAGCATCGTGATTCGCCATGAATGGCTTTTCAAGTTGCATATGTTGGAAGTCACAGAACTCAAATGGTAGTAAAAATATGGTCAGTCGATCATAGTCAAAATAGTTACCTTATCTAAGTAACTCACCCTTTCACAATGTATTTTTTACTCTTTATTATCAGTCCTTAGTAACCACTGAATAGAATAGAATAGAATAATTTTTTATTCAATATAGATAACAAGTAATTCTTATTCAAGGTCAGTATTCTGAAAGTCCGCCATGACGTAGGAAGGCGAAAAGATGCAAAGTAATACGGCCACTCGCGCGCTGCAATTAAGATTTATTTAGCTTGCGTGCGCGATTTATCTAATTAATAATAATCATGTAGGCTATTAAAACGTCGGCAAGCAGCAACATCAAAGGAGTGCAACTTCTTAGGTAGTACTATTATTTATTCTGTGCTTAAATGTAGGATGAAATAACTGAAAAATTTTCTTTTTATTACTGTTCATGTTTTACTGCTATAGTAATTCACCAACCAACAGAAAATTTAATATCTGTCCATTTAATTGTTTCAACTGACTAAAATAACATCCCTAATGTTTAAATAACAGTTATAAAAATTATTAATAATAAAATAGAAATTAATTGCCTTATTTCATTTTGAATTTTGTGAAATAAGAGGACCGGCTGGCCTTGTAGAGTTAGGACACCCACGACCATCAAAGCAGTGGAGGCGTGAATCTCTTCAGATGGGCGTAAGCAGAAACACGGTCAAAAGAGTGATCAATTAAGACCTAGGACTACGAGCTTATTGTAAGAAGACCGGACATGTTTTGAATGAGCGTTTGAAAAAACATTAGGCTGGATAGATCCTGCGCTTTGTTACGGCGCTACGCGGGAAAAAGTACCGCGAAATCTTGTTTTCAGATGAAAAAATGTTTAACATCAAAGTTATAATAAACAAAACAATAAGGTGTACGCCACAGCAGTGAAGAAGCTAGCACGCGTATTCTGAGGGCTCGACGAGCACATTATCTTTCATCACTCATTGTTTGGCTTGGAGTCTCATATTTAGGCTTAACTGAGGTGGTTTTCTGTGAAAAAGGTGTAAAACCAGTGGTGAGATATACCAAAATACCGTCCTGACAAACATAGTGGAACCTGTTTCTCAAAAGATGTTCAAAAATAGATATTGGATATTCTAACAGGACTCTGCACCAGCTCATAGGGCATGAAGCACGCAAAACTGGTTGACCGCCCATTAAATTGACTTTATCGGACATGAAGACTGGCCCTTTTTTAGTCTAGATTTAAGCCCACTGCATTATAAGATATGGCAACATTTTTAGGAGAAAGTCTGCACCAAACCCCGTCCTAATTTGGAATCTCTCCGAGCATCTTTGGCTAAAGCAACGGCAGAATTAGATATGAGTGTGGTGCATGCTGTGATTGATGATTGGCCGCGTTGATTAAGGGCATGTATTCAAAATAGGGGAGGGCATTTTGAATAATGTAAATAAAATTGTATTCTAAATTAAATTACCTTTCATTTCACATATTAACATTACTTCTTCTTCTTCTTTTAAATTATGGCTTCTCTTGATAGAATTCTGCCAGTGTCAAGTCAGTCATGGAAGTGACAAGATAATAATAGTTAAAATAAGAGTTCTCAATTTAATGAGTGGGTTCACAATCTACAACAAAAGACGTCACATATTTAAACTACCATCACCAAAGTTGTTAAGTAATTTTACAGTTTAATATTAATAGTACGAATAAAAGCACATAAAATATTTACGAAGGGAGTATACAATAGGGTCAGCAAAAATTGGAAATTTACTGGACGAGGGATGTAATTGAGCAGGATATTGTAGAGAGAGAAAGAAAGTTTAGGACACTCAAAGAACAGATGATTGACAGATCCTTCATCTAGGCCACATTCACAGATTGAGCTATCCCTAATCCTGAGTTTGGCCATGTGTACAGGAGTACAAGCATGACCAAAGCGTAAGCGGCAAACAGTATAGGTGGTAGCTTTACAAAAGTGGCGATATTGAAAAAACCAGGGTTTTGATGGGATATTAATTTGGACTTTGGAATATTGAAGTCTCCCAACTATTAAGAGATTGTCCCTATACTGTATGCTTCAAGAGATGGTGAAGAGAAAGTTCATACCAATATTAAAAAAAGGAAAGTGTCATTCTAATACATTGATTGCTAAACTTAGGTACTTAAAAACACAATACCAAAAAAGTTAAGTGTGCCAAGTGCCAACATGGAATGAAAAAAAAGAATAGAAAGTCACTCAACTTTATGGTTGAGTGACTTTCATCAGGATATGCTATAAATTAAATGAAGGGACAAGAAGTGTACAGACATTACTTAAATTACCAAAATAAACAGATTTTACATATAAGCCATGGCAGTTTAAATAATAGTAATGGACTAGACTATAATATTATGATGCATAAAATAACAGCTTAGTACTGCTGTGTTTCATATTGTGATAGTTGAGAACTGGAGACCCTTTTCATTGGAAACAAGGCATTCCATCTTAATCCTTATAGGTGACAACCCATCTGTTTTTTTTTTTTTGATATATTACTTTTGAACTATAGACCATAGCAATAATTTACCATCAGGTGGACTGTGTGCTCATTTGTCACTATTATGTTATAAAGAAAATACAATGTAGTACTCCAGATATAGGTGAAGAAAGTTTTATTATTATAAATACATTATTATATTTTTTTTGTAGTATAAGTGTGACAAACGAGCACACAGTCCACCTGATGGTAAGTGGTTGCTGTGGTCCATAGACATCTACATCTATCCTCGGTTAAGAATCAAAATGCAGATGCATTGTCACCCCTGAGGACTAAGATGGAATGCTTCAATTCAAGTAAAAAAGTCTGCGGATCTCTACCCTCACCATATGAAACATATCGGTATTAAGCTGCTATTTTACACTGGTATTCTGTGAGAGCGTGATCCTTCCCTAGTCAAGCCGACCTATTCGAGCTACAACTATAATATATCTACTGCGTGGCTCTACACACTTTCAGCTAAAAGCTGATGCATGTGCAGTTTGGAATTTTTATCCACTCTATTCTTGAAGATGGTCACTGTATAGTCGTATTTTTAATTAGACGAAGCCAACTGACAGTAGCTAATGTCACTTTGTAAAATAATGTTGCCATATTTAAAGTAATAGTGATGCGTTCAGTTCTCGTTCAATCAGATGAATGAACAATGAGTGTGAATAGTTAATCATTTCAAACTATAAAAGAATATTATTTCTATTTTACAATAAAATTGTATAAAAGTGCTCTGATATAAGTTACTAGTAGTATGTAACTACAATCAGTTTTTTGAGGTTTTATTACAAAGCGCGGCGCGGCGACTGGTGCCAACACCGATCAACGCCGCGCGCGTCGGTCGCCATTTTGTTTGTTATTCGGCTTCTAACCTCTGGTCTGATAGCACGAATGTTTTTTCTGCGCTCACGCTGTTTAGTTATTGTTTTTGTTAAGTTTTTCGTTAGGTTGTGTTTGTGGTAATTGTTGTGTTTATTTGTTGCTATATTGTTTCGTACAAACGATATGGATCCTCAACCAAGCACGTCAAGCCAAAGCTTGTCTCCAAGAAAGAAGAGACCACGGATTGCTTTAAGCGTTACCGAAAAACTTATGATACAAAACGTCTACAAACACGTATTTGAGGAAAAAGCTGCTTCACTATTACCTATTGAGGCCCCCGAAAAAAAAAGAATGTGTTTCGAAAACAGCTGACATTTTGGGAATTGGTGTGACCTCAGTTTACAGTGTGTTAAAAGAATGCAAAGAAAATGAACAATTTAAGTCTCCCGAGAAACGTGGACCGAAACACAGTTTCAAAGATAAATTAGACGATTTTACTTTTGCCGCTATAAGGCGAAAAGTAAATAATTTTTTTTATGCAAATGAGTCACCCACCATTATAAAGGTAACTTAAACTTTATTCCTTCTACTGCATTATATTCTGTGTCCACCATAATGTTCTTTGTAAAACCAAAGTATTAGATTGCGTAGACTTCCTTACTCAAAACATATTTTATTACTTTACAGATTCTTAAGGTTGTCAATGAAGACCCAGACTTACCCAATTTTTCTTGGAGTACATTAAGAAATGTTATGAAACATTTAAATTTCAAATATGTCACAAAATCAAGACACAGCATTTTAATTGACAGACAGGACATTATTCTATGGCGCCAGCGATACCTTCGAAAAATTAAAGAGTATCGAAGGGAAGGAAGGTATATTTATTACCAAGATGAAACCTGGATCAACGAAGGTAATTACAATTTTCTGTTTTCTTTACATTAAATTGTACTTTCAAATAATTAATTGATATTTTTCACTATCTTGAAGGTCATGCACCGAAGAAGGCATGGATTGACCAGACAGTGTTATCGTCCCGCCAGGCCTTCCTAGATGGCTTGACCACTGGCTTAAAACAGCCTTCAGGAAAGGGCAAACGATTAATTATCGGCCATATAGGCGGGGAAGAAGGATTCGTAGAAGACAGCTTATTAATATTTGAAGCCAAAAAAAAAAAAAGAAGATTATCATCAAGAGATGAATGCCGATTCCTTTGAGAAGTGGTTTTGGGGTGTCTTGCCAAAACTAAAACCAAATTCCGTAGTAGTGATGGATAATGCCCCCTACCACTCCAGGAAACTAGAATCGCTGCCTAAAATGTCTTGGACTAAACCTAGAATACTAGAGTGGCTAACGAGCAAAAATATTTCATTCGAAGCAACAATGGTTAAAGCTACTCTTATAGACATTGTACGGCAGCACAAGCAAGAACATTGCGATAAGTATGTTGTGGACGAGATGGCAGCGCAGCATGGGATAATTGTTTTACGTCTGCCCCCATACCACTGTGAGCTCAATCCCATTGAGTTGGTATGGGCGCAGGCTAAAGGATATGTTGCAAGAAATAACAAAACCTTCAAAATGACAGAAGTAAAAAAACTTTTTTGAAGAAGGACTTCAACATATCACACCTGAAAAATTGAATAGCTGCGTGTCTCATATAATTAAAAAAGAAGACAAAATGTATGGTCTCGACCACATGATTGACAATGTTACTGACAGATTTTTAATTAATGTCACCGAAAGCGATAGTGATGATTTTTTATCTGATAATGAATAAAAACAAATTATGTAATAAGCGATTTTTTTTATTCTGATTACCTACCTATAATTGTTATATTTTATACATCTATAGTTTCAACTACATGATGTATTGAAAATAGGACAGTCTTACAAGTTTCCTCGCAATATTTTCCTTAATGTTTAAAACACTCGGTATTCAGTATAGGTAGATATTATAGGAACATAGTCGTCAAACACTCGTTGGTATGTAAAAAGCACGACTAAAATTCGAACCCCGTACCCGATATCGGCAGTTCAGCACACTAACTATTCACTAGACAATCGAGGCAATTTCATTAATTCAGGAGTTTTTCAATCATTCACTTTGTCACAACACTATTTTTATTTCATCAAAAACTGACAACACAGTAAACGGCAGTTGACTTAGTCTAATTAAAAATACGACTATAGGAGCATCAGTCACATTTTGTGGTAGCTTGCTCCAATTAGAGACAATATAATTTGAAATAATTTTCATATTACTAATTTGAATTATTATTTTCAGAATATCTGAATGATCAGACTGGCACTATGACATCAAATCGTGATGAAGGGCCTGTATATTATAGAGAGATACAGAAAAACGCGTTCCTTAAAAGGATACCTTATGAAGTTACCACCAGTAAGCTTAGGCCGCTAGGGCATAAGGTTAGTAGTTATTTTTTCTACGTTAATAATAATAATAATGTCCTCCAGACCGAATTTCGGCCACGTCGGCCTGCCTCAACGGAGGCTAGCCATCGCCGCAGGACAGGATTATAGTGCCCAAGTGTATGCCCAAGCACAGGTGCACTCTCGTATTCTGATGGGACGGTAAACCGACACGACCGGGAGAGAGATCAGGTGCAGGACCAACGGCTTTACGTGCTTTCCGAGACACGGGGGTGAGACACCACCAACTTCTTGACTCAGTGCAGCTACTGAGAATTTCTTGAGAGAAAAATTCAATAATTGATTTTTTGGTCCGACCTGGGATTCGAACCCAGGACCTCATGATCAGCAGTCCCACTACTACAACCACTAGACCAACGAGGCAGTTTTTCTATGTTAGTTAGTTTACGACGGGCTGTTTTCCGCAACTTCACGTCTAAGCGCGTATTTTGCGTGCGAGTAGGAATATTGTGATTATTTGAGCCATGAAATCTCCCCGAAAAAGTTCAAGAGTCCTTTGATATTGCAAGCAATTTCGGGGAGTAATCCGGCGGATCACGTGTCAGCAACACGTGATCCGCCGTTTCTTCCTCCCCCATGCATGCCCTGCACAGGGTCTATCTGTAACACCTATGGTAAATAAATATTTGTTATGGGAGTCATGTCCTCTAATAGCACTTTTTCTATCCTGATCTGTGCCTTGTTCAATCTCATTAAGACCTTGGTTATACAACTGTTTATTTCAGGCAGGGCCTCCCTAGCTTGCCTTCAGTTCACTAGACTTTCCAAAGCTGAGTGTGTTGATTAGTAAAGTTTTTACATACCAGTGAATGAATGTTACCAAAAGATAATTGATAGAATCAGGCGTTACTTTGCGGAAATCCATTATAATAAAAAATAAAAATATAAATTTCTTTGCAACTTTCCGCTAAACATATAAAATGATGTGTCTTACCTGGATTGAAGCGCACCTCCCGCCCTCCCTCAATTGCATACACTAACTCCGTCACCACTAGACCAAGCACCACTATTCCAGGCAAGACACACCATCGACGATAATACGACACGTGTTTCGCCTCCACACGAGGCATCCTCAGGTAATATAGATCGCTAAATTTAGCGGTCAGCCGCCGTAGAGTTTTATATTTTTATTTTTTGTTACCAAAAGAGATTGGTATGATCGGTTCCAGCCCTGTAACAGTCATAGCCGATCCTCTCCAGGCCAGTTTGTCTGCTGCGTCGTTGCCCCTGAATCCAATGTGTCCCTTGATCCATTGTAGAGTCACATTGTTGTGTTTACATACCGCATTTAATTGTTGATGGCATTCATATATTAGTCCACATTGCAAATCAGAGCTTGAAGTACCATCATGCTGTCAGTCAGTATTCTGATCGAGAAGTTTTTTAACTTCCTAGCATCTATTGCTATGACCGCTTGGATGATACCCATACATTCTACCTGAAAGACTGTGTTGTTTGTACCCAGCGGTGTAGATATTGAGGTCTTCCAAGAAAGTTCCAGATTCTACATCTTCATCTGTTTTAGAACCATCTGTGAAAACTCCAAGCTCTTTTGGATTTAATCTCTCCAGCTGGTTGGATTGATTTAATTGTATCTTATATTTCTTATCAAACACAAATTGTATTGTGATTTATCATACTTGGCTTGTTGTAAAATAGGTATTTTTGAGTAAATTCTACCAATTATACCTGTATGAGGAACTTTACACTTACTTCAAAGATTTATTAAAATTTAGCTAAAGTTCATTGTCTTAAGTGGTCTAACCTTACCTTTCTTAAAAATGTTAACTTTTATGGCAGTACTCATAAAGAAATAAATAAGAATTGAATATCAATGTTAACTTTAGTATAAAACTAACTTTTGCTGTCGTTATTGTTATTGTGTTTTGTCTTTGGTGAATATAAGTTAAATTTAGTGATATAATATATTTTGTGTCATGGAGGAAGGAACTGCCGTCTGTGATACAGGCTCGGCCTAGTACAGCCGGCCGTACCAAACCGAAGTAAGCAACTTAAAATTTGTACATAGCTTATTTTAAACAAATTGTAAAAAAGCTTATTGTAAAGAAAAGGAATGTGAAAAATTATGCTAATAAGTTTTATTTATTATTATTCATATATTTAGGGTCTTGAGGTCTAATGGCAGCTAAAGTCCCTTCTTGTTTTATGTGTAGATGAAGGGGTGTTAGCTACAGCTTAGCCTCTCTAAGGCTGATGTTAATGCAGCCTATGGCAGCCATACATGCCAGTGTTTGATAACGCTGAAGCTTCTTCATAGTGGTGCCTTCAATCATTTTGGTCCACCATACTAGAGCACCGTATGTGTTCATGGGCTGAATTACAGTTTTGTACAGCCACAGTATAATTTTTCGCATCAGGCCCCACTGTTTGCCAATTATATTTCTGCATTGCCAGAAAGTTCTAGTGTAACTTTGTTGTTAATTTTGTTTTCTGTGTGTTAATTTCAGTTGAGTATACTGTCCAAAGTAAGACCTAGGTATTTTACCTCAGAGGATAGCTGAAGTTTTGTCCTAATGAGACTTGTACTTGTGACTTTTGTGTAAACATTACTAAAACCGTTTTATTTGGATTGCTGATTAAGTTGTTTGTGTTTTATATGTCGTAGAGCCATGCTGCAATTATATTACTAGTATAGTTGAAGCACGAATGAGTCGGCTCGACCGGGGAAGGACTACGCTCTCACCGAGTACCAACGTACAATAATGCTGCTGTGTTTCGTATGATGAGTGTAGAGAACCGGAGACCCTTTTTACTGGAAATGAGGCATTCCGTCTTAGTCCTCACGGGTGGCAACACACTGCATTTTGATTTGTAATCGGGGATAGATGTAGATGTCTATGGGCCACAGCAACCACTTACTATCAGGTGGACTGTGTACTCGTTTATCACCCTTACCAAAAAAAAAGTTGTATCCTTTACAACATCTCTTCACTGTTCAGTGAGCCTCTTGGGTCAGGTCGCACACCATGCATGCTGTTTTTCCCAAGACTAGTCATCTCAGGTCATCTGTATAACCAGTTGTATAGACGTGGTTGGCATTTAATTTGCTGATTAGTTCATTTATGACCATATTCTACAGGAGAAGTGAAAGAACCCCACCCTGCGAGCAGCCCCTTATTTGGACTGCTTGAGATTCACTAGCTATCTTTTTTGTTCTTTAACTGAGCATGTATACTATTCAGTCAATCAGTGCCAGTTCAACTCCATGTCTACTTAGTGCAACTATTATGCTCGAGAAGTTTGTTCTGTCAAAAGCACCTTCTGTATCGATGAAGGATCCTAGATAATATTTCTTTGTTTTGGATGACCCTTTTAATATTTGTTATTACCTGAAGAAGTGCCGATGCTGTCGATTTGCCTAAGCCTATAGGCGTGTTGCTTATTGTGTAGCGGTATGCTCATTAGAGTCCACCTCCTTAAGCTCCTCCACACCCTCTCCATTGTCTTTAGGAGAAAGGATGTAAGGCTGATTGGTCTATAGGATTTTGGGTCCGTATAGTCACTCTTTTTATGTTTTGACCCCCTTTACTGGAAACAAGGCATTCCGTCTTAGTCCTCAAGGATGACAACGCATCTGTATTTTGAATCTTAATTGAGGACAAATACGGACATTTGTGGGCCGCAGCATCCACTTACCATGAGGTGGACTGTGTGCTTATTTGTCACCCTTATTCCATAGAATACTTATCACAACTATGATGACAACAGTTTATAATGTGATACCTTTTTTGTGAACAATAAGTTGAAACATTCACTTGTTCCTAGAATCCTGTATGAGGTTTTAAAAAGCCTGCCATCTCCAAAGCCCTATAACACTTAATTATAAGAGACACTCAGTTAGAAGAGATAACTATTATAATATTATGTTATATTTATCTTCTAGAAACCCCCACTCAAACCAATGTGGACATTATTTTGCGTACACAATGGACGTATCCCCTTTTTAGAACAATACCCTGAGCCTGACTCGGCCACAACCCTTACCCATAGACCGGCGTGGCGGGTGTGCTTGCGATCAGCCAGACATGTCACAGCCAGTGTTAAGCCACATGTGGGGGATGAGTACGACTTCCTGATTGACACAGATCAGGGGCCGGTCAGGATGCTGGCTCCAGACTGGTAAGATATTGTATACATTGTATGTTAAATTTAATGTTTTTTTCTTCTTAAAAAAAGTTATAGTCTGTTAGCTAAAATAGTGTCGGTACACCCGGAGGCGCAATTATTTTAATATTTTGCATTTATTTTATTATTTTTACTGTGTTGTTAAAAGAATATTTTTTTATAGGATAGGGTGACGATCGAGCACACAGTCCACCCGATTATTACGTGTAAACTGAACATGAGAAAGTTTTTTTTATATAGAGTAGGGTAACAAATGAGCACACAGTCCTCCTGATGGTAAGTGAATGCTGTGGCCCATAGACATCTACATTTATCCTCGATTAAGAATCAAAACGCAAATGCGTTGTCACCCCTAAAGACTAGGATGAAATACCTTGTTTCTGGTATAAAACGGTCGAAACATAGCAGTATTAAGCTGCTATTTTACGCTAGTATTTTGTGAGAGCGTATTCCTTCTCCGGTCGAGCCAACCCATTTGTGCTACAACTATACTACTAATATAACTGCAGTATGGTTCTACCACATATAAAATACTATAAGTATAATATTTTATTCTTATGGTTATTGTAATAAAATACTAATATAAATTATAAACAAGTTAGGTAGCAAAGAGAATTTAAATGAAAAATGTGAATAGGTGGTTAAACATAAACGAAAGTAAAATTGACACTATTCTTCATCACTCGAAGTTTCGGAGTCATTGCCACATGCATTTGTAATAAGGCATTCAATGTCATCATGTTCTGAATCCGTACTAAAATAGTATTTTTATTATTAATTCACTCAAAATTTCATCTTGAGGCACTTCACTGTCGTCCCAAGAATGAAAAAAACATTTTCTGTAAACGTAGCAGAGTCAACAAAAACAACCTTTCACTACGGCGTTTCGTTTTAAATTGCCAAATTTTTCTGCGGGTGTACGCCGCACACGGTAACCTTTGACGTCGCGGCGGCGCCTTTGACAATATGCGGCATGTGTCATGGCGGCGCGACACAAAGACGACCGTATCTAAGCGAACAGACTATACCTCCACACTAGAATACTCTCTGTTTTTCTGGGTGGAATTTAGTAATTGATTTTAAATTAACTTCTCGTTGAGCTGGAAACTTGAAATTTTGAATATAGTTTAAATTTGGATGAAACTGCAAGAATATGATAAAATAACATGGTATATTCAAACTTTTAATACAATTTTTTTTTATATATTTAATGATACTAAAATGTTTTCTACCAGTTTTACCAGAAGGAAACCCATTTAGGCACTTCTTTTTACGGATATTTTACGAAACAGCACCACCTTCCTCTAATCTCATTTTGACTAAGATAGGTGTAGATGTCTATGGGCCATAGTAACCACTTACTATTTCAATTTTTTTTAATAAATAAAAATTATATAACCCCCTCCAGAAACAATTACATAACATGCAACACAACAACTTGAAAATGTAACTTTACTCAACTAACAATTTGTGTGAGTTCAATGTTTATTAACAATTGACACTATTATAATCCAGCAAATTATGTGGACATAAAATCTTGCGTTAAGCTCTATAAACAATTGTATTTTAATTTTAGTTGCACATATTCATTCACTCTTTCAACAACTCTAGAGTAACAATACCCAATATTGGCTATTATATGTTTGCAATAGAAAAACTTAAATGAAATTATCTAAAAGTAAGACAAAACAGTAAAATTATTCGAGGGTTAATTACTCTGTTAAAAATGGTATTTGTGAAATCCACCCTAAGAGAGTTTTACTGAGACTTTACTATTTGTTGTTTCTTTAAAATATTTTCAACTGTGACTTTCTTCCAGGGACTCAATGCAGGACTGGGTATCAACACTCCGGAACAAACTGCACGAGTTGAAGATCCTTGCGAAAGGAGAGAATGTGTACTGCGCTGCCCCAATAGCCCCTGTTCCCCGCGCGGCAGCGAGGGACCCCACCTCCCCACTTCCGCCAACACCTCCAATACCACCCGATCGGTAAGCTTCTGATGTGAAACATCTGTTTTACATCATCGCTTTATGATGTGAAATATCTGTTGCTGCCATGGAATGACGGCTGATGTCAAAAACCGGTATATTTTTTTGCGCATGTATACCCAATATGCGAGATATAGCATCCTACTTCTATTTTTATTTATTTATTTTACTCCATATTTCATCATTGATTTTCATCAATTATAATTCTTCCATCAACTATGATGTTTCACATCTGTTGGCTGTCTTGTGACAGCCAAACTTTTTCAACTCTTCATGTCTCTAATACTTATAAATCATTTTAGATTATTTACCGACGTCAAAAAAGAAGAGGTATTCAATTCAACTTTTCTGGGTGAACCAATTTTGATGATTCTTTTTTTATTTGAAAGCTGGTGCTTCTCGTGTGGTCCCATATAAATTTGATCAAGATCTGACCAGTAGTTTTTGAGTTATCCTTAAATAATGCGTATTTCATTGACTTCGAATACATTGATTGAGTCGTGTTGAAGTCGGTTGTATAAAATTTTTTATTATATTATGAATTTTTCGAGCATAAACTATTCTAAGAAGTATCCATTCTCGCGCTAAAAATTCGTGTCTAAAATACGATATTTCGTCCAACCTGGCCTTAATTTGTAACAACCGAGAAAACTTAACTTGGTCTGCACTCGCTACTGGGTAAAAAATACCACAGGGTGTCTATACAAGATTATTTTTACTTTTATGAACGCCCAGACAACACGGGATTCTAGGTACTTTCTAGCCGATAGTTAACATACACGTAAGGCTGCTAGTTTGGTGATGATGGGTTCATAAAGTGAGTACAGGTGGAAAACACCCGATTTATCTTGTTTTAATATTTTACGTTTTACTCATACTTGTTTAATCGTTTCAACGCTAATTTATAATGGACTTTGAACTAAATGAAAGTGTAATACCAGAATTGATTTAACAAGAAGACAGCAAGAATGAAAACGTGTCGGAAGTAGACGATTTTAAGGAGTATAGTGAACATAAAAGTGATGCAGAATGGGTCACAAATGATGATTCATCAACTGATTAATCATCATCTGTGTGTCACGGCCACACACCCTCAGACTTAGATGAAGTTCCACTATCAGATGAACTGCAGCCAAAGGATGATGATGAATATTTACCATTGAAATACCTTAAACGAGGAAAGTTTATTGGTAAAGACAAAAGAACTGAGTGAAAAGTTCGTGAGCAACTGCGACGTGTTCGAATAAGATTACATAATCTGGGAGCACGGCAGTGCCCCAGCCAAGTCGAGCAAAAAAGAGGCACGGCAGTACTATATTTATTTATTTATTTATTTATTTATGCTTTATTTGCACACCAAGTACAAAAAGGCGGACTTAATGCAACAAGGCATTCACGACCGGTCTACTTTCAGACTAAGCAGAGAAGATATTGTGGGTGCAAAGTGCTACTGAGTTAAAACATTTAAGTAGACATACACATTAAATATTGCATTACATGTTATAAACATATGTATCATTATATATATACATACACACATACATACACATACATATATACATACACATATACATATACAAACATAATTAAATATAGCTGTTTCTGATTCAAACACCTATGAAATATTTGAAATAAAAACAGGATAAGGGAACAGTTAGAATTTAAGAATATGAAAAAAAAATGTTAATCGACAAACTACTCCTGCAACGCCAGAAAATGATTCCATAGCAAGCGTTTGAACGATGCTTTGCTCGTGGCTGCACGTACACTGCTCGGTAGCTCGTTCCACAATCTTACCGCGTGAGACGTAAAAGATTTATACAAGAAGCTAGTGTGACAGAGGGGGACATGGAGATTAGACTTTTCCGTAGAACGGAGACAACGATTATGAGAATCACCCTGATACTGAAATTTACATTTCAGATATTCAGGGACAAACGGATCGTGTAAAACTGAAAATAATGTGCACAGTATTCTGAAATATCTGCGATAGCGGAGGGGTAGCCATTTAAGCTGAGAGGAGATGTGGTCGTATTTACGTAAACCGAAAATGAAGCGTATACAATTATTAAGAAGTCGATCCAGTTTGTTTAGAAGTTCTTGAGAGGCATCAGCATAGCAAACATCTGCATAATCTAAAATAGGCAACACTAGAGTCTGTATTAACATCGCCTTAGTCCCTATCGGTAAAAAATTCTTGAGACGATACAGATAACGCAGAGTGTGAGTGACCTTTTTGCTCACTTCATATATATGCGGTCGCCAAGTGAGGGTGTTGTCAATAACTAAGCCAAGATCTTTAACAGTTATTGAGTAAGGAATAGCAATATTATTAAAAATTATAGGAGGTAGCACCTTCATATCAATTTTAGGCAATCTACGAGAACTACCAACCACAATAGCCTGACACTTTGTTGGATTAACCCTAATACCAAATCTGTCTGACCAATAATAAATACTGTTAAGGTCGCAGTTAAGCTTCTTAATCACATCACTATACTTTCCTCGAAGCAATTCAGGCCATTTTCGACCCTCTATAACTTCATAGTTAATGAAACCAGAAGCCTGAATTTTCAGTATCGGAGGAGGCATTGTATAAACATGGTATATTTCAAATTAAATTCAATTGGAACCAGTAGTTTAAGAATTATAACTAGTCAAAGTTTCTTAATTTTGTCACTCACTGACTGACCGATCATCAAAACTCTAAGGCACTTCTAGCAGACATAGAAGCTTCAAATTTAGAATACAATTAGTATTTAGTGTATAAATCAAGGAAAAACTAAAATATTTTTTTAATTTCGGACCAGTATTCTAGATACACCAACTGCATAAATAACTTTGTAATCCTATATAAATATATAGAATTACAAAGTTACATACACACAATGTATTTCACAAGTAATACATATTATATTAAATTAGATTGCTTAGTGTGATTGCCAAGTCAATCTATGTATTTAAAACATAAAACCTTTTTAACATTGATGTGGTCACTATAAAATGTTGTTAGGTTAGCTAATTACGTAATAACTTAAAACAGAAGAACCCTTAAGTAAGGACTGAATAAATTTACCGACTTGGTATTACATGGATCTCACAACTTTTTTACGGTAGAAGAACTGAGTTGCGAGTCTTGGTTTTTTTTTTTTACAAGTTATGTTTTTGATGGCATATCATTTTTCATTTTCCGGGATCAATTGTCGAAGGTAGATATTACCCGTTCGTGCTAGAGGCCTTGGATCTTATATTTACGGAAAGTTATCTACAGGAATTCTTTTATTGTTACCAATAAACTTTCCTCGTTTAAGGTATTTCAGTGACACATCTTCATTAACCGTTGGCTGCAGTTTTTCATCTGATAGTGGAACTTCATCTAAGTCTGAGAGTGCACCAGTTGATGAATCATCATTTGTGACCCATTCTGCATCACTTTTATGTTCACTATACTCCTTAAAATCGTCTACTTCCGACACGTTTATATTCTGGCTGTCGCTCAATGTCCATGTTTTATAACAATATTAATATTTTGTTAGTTCGGTAGTGAATTAAATCTATTTTTGATATTGTTCTTAATCCAAAATATTGTTTGAAAATATATATACATTTTCACAATCATAACCTTAGACATGCCCATGATATATACATATAAAAAGTTAGAACAGAGTATGGTAAAAAAAATGTAATGTTATGACGGTGCAAAACTGTCATAACGCTTAATGTAAAAGAATCAAAAACATTACCTATCTTTCTTTAAAAACTTATCGAAACGCCATATTTTGGAAATTTTACCAAAAAAAAACTGAAATTAAATGTAAATTAATTTCCGTTTCGGTTGCATTAATTGATCTGTTATTACAATTTGTGTGCGACCTATGTTTACTATTCTTTTAATTGTTTACGTTTTACCCATATCTTTTATTTTTATTATTTTTTGTATTTTTTTTTATTTCTCATAAGAGATTTGTAATCTTTTGAGAAATAAGTAATATCTTAAACCTATCTTGATTTTTGTAGAAGTATCAAATTTTCTATTTTTTTACTTTATTATGATAATCTCTCATTCTTAATAAATAAACACTATAACTTGAATTTCCCATTTTTTATTGAGAATAGCATTAATTAAACTACATTCCTGATAAATTGAAAAACAACATTTTTTCCTAGATTCCATTCTATTTAAATACTATGGTAATTTTAACCCGATAGCGAGTATTTGTAAATACCTAGCGAGTACCGTCGGGTTAAAGTAAACTCATATACAACTGAAAAATACTTGTTTCTTTTTCCTTTAGAGTACCTGGAATTGAACTGACGACCCAAAGTCCCCGTCCAGCACCAGACACAGCAGTCGAACCGGCACCAACAACACAGCCTGCAAATGAGAATCTAGAACCAAACGAGGACCAGGCACAAACTCAAGAACCTGTGGACATATCCAACTGGGATAACCTGGTCACTTCCCTACCCAGCACAAGTCAAACGGAACCCAAGAAGAGTGTTGCGAAGATCTGCGGACAAAATATCTGTCTAGATGATTCCATCTTGAAACGATCAGAAGTGACCGAGAGTGATGAGGAATTCTTTTCCGAAATTGATAGGATACACGAATCTGTTGAGAGTTTGAATGTGAATGAGAAAGAGCCTGTTGGGTATACTCAAAGGGTTGTTGTGAGTAATGATGGGGAGGCTGGGTCTTCTAATAATAACGTGGATAATTCGCACAGGTTAATCTCTAAAACTATTACTGTGAACAAGTACATTGACATCACTGTTTTTAAGCTATTGCATAACTTTTATCGCGGGCTTTGAGCGCGGCGACCGATTCAAGAAATTCCGTAACGAAAAAAACCTAAAACCTAACATCGTCTAACGTCGTTTAAGTTCGGCAGACTTCAGCACGGTGTTTGTGTGCGTGCGACTAGACGTATGCGTGTAGACTAGTTGCACATAATAAAAATATTTTAAACAGTAACATAGTTTATTGCAAGAAGCATATTCTTTGGATTTATATGAGTCGCCGTCATGCTAGCAACTTTCGTGAACTTAGAGTATTTAATAAACACAGACTTTATTGAAAATTATCGTTTGTCGGAAAAACTCGTTAATTACCATAAACCTATATTTCAATGATAAAAATTCCTGAATAACCTACATCTATTGTAAGATAATAAAAATATTTTAAACAATATTAACTTCTCATTTATTCAATAAAAGAAAAAAAATTGTTTTCTTATCAGTCACCACGCTCAAAAAGTGTAACTTGAATTAATATCAAAGAAAAAACTTGAACTAATGTCAAAGAAAAAACGAAGAAAAAAATACTGCATAAATAATTATAATTGCACAAGTCGATAAAAAAGCTATGCAATAGCTTTACCGCGGCAGTCCCCGAGTGCCACACGTATTTTTTTTCACTTTAATTTTTTGTGTAGCAAGAGATGCTTAGTTTTTTACCCATTGCTGAACATAGGCCTCCTTCAAAGATTGCCTTATAGGAGAGAAGGGGGGGGGGTATATTTGTCATGTTTGGCAATCAGTTGTTTTTTTATTAATTTTAGTTTGCGGTGGGCAAAATGTATCATTGTTGCGATTGGAACATTTGCATCTCGATCACTGAAATGTTCCGAAACACTGATATGTTTCATTTGGCTCATTTGGATCATCGACTCAAAAGATATAAAAACATATACAGAATGTTACGAATACATTAAGTTGCGTCGCGGGCGTTTATTACAGACTGATTCAGTGAAACGTTATGTTGCAACAATGCTGAACGATATAAGTGGTTAGGTTATTTTTATTATATATTACATAGTTATTTTTATTGTTATTTATTGTGTACCGTAATAAAGTTGTATATAAATCGATCCTACTTCATACTTTATCCAGGCTTAGGACTAGCGGCTACTCCTTAATTTGTGGCCACCTGGCATAAGATTTATGATGATAAGGAAGAAAGTAAGTCACAATAATCACTACGCAAAGAAATCCTAAACAGAACTCAGTATGTTTTCGTAAACAGGCGCGAACGAACATAAACAATTTGACAAGTGCCGGATCAACGTAAAATGACAGCTTGTTAATGCAAACATTACATGCAAAAAACGACCGTATGGTATTTGATAGGTAAGTGCCTTAGTGGTCATTTTTACGTGCATGGTTAACTATAGCCAAAATCTGTTACGAATTGAGTGATACACTTCTCATTTGTTATCTCTTTATAACTTGTATAGATTGCAATTATTTCGCCCGCTCACTCGCCACTCTCTCGCTCGCGGCTCAGTCGCGTCGCAAGCGATGCGTCGCGCGAAATGAACACAGAGCCAAAGTAATGTTTCAGATCCAAATGATGCATTTGAAACGTTGTTACTGAACCAATCTTTTGAATCACTTAAGTGATCAGTGAGTCAGTTCCGTAAAGAGTTACACACCCCTATTTTAAGTCGTTATAAGGAAGATACTGCGTTCTATTTCATGTTCATTATATTCTATGTCTTGTTCCTGGAATAACGGTGACACGCAGTCCACCTGATAGTAAGTGGATGCTGTGGCCCATAGACATCTATATCTATCATATATTAAGAATCAAAATACAGACTTGCCACAACTAAAGACTCCGATTCTCTACAATCACCATATGAAACACAGCAGCATTGAGCTGTTATACACTGGTGTTCTGTGAGAGCGTGGTCTTTCCCCGGTCAAGCTACTACCATAATATTGCAGCTGTATACAGGATAGCTCTACCGCATATTATTTCATACCTCAATTTTTTTTATTTACCACATTTCCTTCTGTTCCCTTTTAAGGTACCTATGGGATGATATAGCACCACTAGCCCTGGATTCACTTACACGTAGTATAATTATTGGGTAGCCTAAATTAATAAAACTAATTTCTTTTTTCAGTATACCACAGAGAAGCAACATCACAGTGATACAAGTGTCAAACAAAGGGCCGCCTCATACCGCGATACCGGTCCTCGGACCGGAAACGGATATCTTCGACTTCAACTTTCAACAGGAAGTGACGATAACCCCCGACACGGGTCAATCTGACGCGCGGAGCTTCGTCAATATCGTCAATACAGAAATAGACGTACAGAACTCGAACAAAAACGACTATGGGACCGTTTTCACGAAGAGCGATACTGATTATGGTCATCTGAGCCTCACAACAACTGTCAGCTTGACAGGAGAAGCTGTCAAAACCGATGACAGCATATACGAAAGGCTTTGCATGGCGTCCACGTCCACAGACAGGAAGTCGCCGCTGCCCGTGAAAAAAATTAAAAGCATAGACAAAATTAGGAAATCATCACTGCCCAATTTGGAGTTAACTTCCGAATCGGCTTACGAATGTTTATTTCCAAACACTAGTCATAACAATCATAATAATAATGTTAGAAACACGACTAATATAATGTTAAATCAAAACCGTTCGGATACAAATGCGGGCATTGTGAATGGACGTCCGGAAATCAATTCTAACTTAAATGAAACTAATAGGTCAAATGTACAAGTGAATGTGAGTAACACTTCAGTGAGTGCGAATTTGAACTCTGTTGCGCGAGTGATAAGGACTAATGTCGAGCGATCGCAAAGTCAGAACGCTTATGATAGTGCTCCAAGGCTGAGGGAGAATTTAATTAGAAGAGTGCAAAATAACAGTCCGAAGAGAGAAGCGAAAATAGGTCAGTATTATACTTACTTATTTATTATAGGACATGTCCTAATTTTTGTAGTGTCCTGGGATGTCCTGGATAATTTTTAAGCAGTGTCCTAGGTTTTTAACGCGCCCTGATAAGGTCATGTGTTTTAAAATTCAAAGAATCTAATAGACAGCGAACCGATAGTGTGGCGAAGTGTTTTTATTTTGTTATGTATGCTATCGATTGAATATAAAAAGCGAAAACGAACCGATACTTGTATACATAGTATATACATTTGCCACATTTTCGGTTCGGTTCAGTTCACAGTTAACAAGGCCTATATCCTAGTTTTTTAAATTTGCGATTGGCAACCCTAATCTAGCCTAAGTGCAGTTCTCTTTGTATTGAATGTTTTATCGTTAACTATAATAGAAAACTATAAACATCAATAACCGTGTAGTGGCGGTGTAAGAATATCCACTACCCCATATCGTCCTGTGGGTGTCGTAAGAGTCGACAGGGGGTAACTGGAATAGGTGGTGGGCAGCACCGTCTTCCTGATAACAACTCAAAATAATAAGTGCGGTTGGCAGCACACGTGCCAAGCGTGGCAACTATGCCAATATTCCTCATATGAGGCAATCTACGGGGAGGCCTTTGTTCAGCAGTGGATTTTTACAGCATATAATGGATGAATGGAACATGAACTAAATCAAGGATAAGTTGTGTGAAATGGTAATTTTATGGTACGTCGTTCCCATTCATTTTTAACAGCTTTACAGCATAGTGGTTCTAAACCAGTGGTCTGTAGACCAGGTCCCTGAAGGCACCTCAAATAATCTCACAGAATACGACCGTAAAATAGCAGCTTAATACTGCTGTGTTTTGTATGGTGAGTGTAGAGATCTGGAGACACTTTTTTACTGGAAACGAGCCATTCTGTCTTAGTTCTCACGGGTGACAACGCATCTGCTTTTTGATTCTTAATTGTGGATAAATGTAGATGTCTATAGGCCACAGTCTATGATGTCTATGTCTATGATCCACTAACATCAGGTGAACTGTGTGCTTGTTTGTCACCCTTAATAGTTTTAATATATAAAAAGATTTAAAGGGGTTCCCTTTTACTGGTAACGAGGCATTCCATCTTAGTGCAAAGGGGTGACAATGCATTTGTATTTTGATTCTCAATTGAGGATAGATGTATATGTCTATGGGTCACAGTATCCACTCACCATCAGGTAGACTGTGTGTTTTATTGCCACTGTTATTCTATAAAAAAGAAAGTTGAGTCGGCGATTTTTTATAAAAGGGCAGCAGAGTCGGAATGTCACTAAGAAGCGGGTAGTATAGCTTTTTAAATATCTGTTTGAATCTAAATTTCAACTACTTTTCTGTATTTTATTGTTAGTTGAGTTTAGGTTGTTATCAGGAACATGTAGCTACCCATATATGTTTCAGTTTCTTTTTGTGGCCTCTAACAACAAACACTGTACAATACAAGGTAGTCAATGCAGCCACTACATGGTAATGGTCATTGGGTTTTACTGTCCATCTCGTAAATCTGTATAATTTACTCACTCTTAAATGTGCGAACTCAAAAAGGTCTTGGGTTCGAATCCACCATTCGACTACTGGCGTGAACCACTCATTACACAAATAATTTAAGCTTACCACGAGTGGTTAAAGGGAATATTAGTAATGTTTATAGCATTGTTAATATTCTTTTTAAAAAAATCTGAATAATGTCCCTGGTATATATTGTATTTTTTGTCAAGAAATTCTTGGTAGTAGCCTGAAGTTGAAGATGGCGGTGTTTCATCTCTGTGCCTCGGAAAGCACGTAAAGCCGTTGGTCCTGCGCCTGATCTCTCCGCTTCTGTATGAAAACCATATGATGATAATGTGTTCTTTCTTTATAGAAAAGACTGAAGCTCCAGCTAAACCAATCTGGAAGCGTGGCTTAACCGAGCTGTCACTTTTGAGCCGATTGCGGGGGTTGGGGCAGGGAAAGCGGCAGGAAAGCCCCACTCGCCACGAAAATGACACTGGGGACAGGTGACTATTTCTTTGAAGTAATTACACATATTACACTCATTTACCTGTGGCGGCGCTGTCGACGCGCCGCAAGCGAAACACACCGAAGCCTAAATCCCGGGCCTGCTAATGCCCGGAGAGCGGCCGACACTCCGTGTGATAGTTCAGGGATGTTCTATATATACTATTTATGATTCGCAATTTTGATAGCGTGATTTAGGCTTCGGTGTGTTTCGCTTGCGGCGCGACGACAGCGCCGCCACATACCTTATACCATTTTTATGCATATTGCGGTGTGTGAGATTTGGCATAGTTAATGTTTATATGGAGGAGTGCATAAAACTAAAAGGTCGATTTCAGGCCAAGTCTATGTACATGTCGGTACCTGCACCGTTGCACGTGCAGCAGCGCCTCCGGAGCTAGTCGGAATTATTGTAAACAACACGTGCACCCCACACCTGCGCGTTGCCCCTGCAGTGGCGCTCGTGTAGCTACTTGTTTCGCTTGTATAAAAGGGACGGAGGGGCTGCCTGTCTTAACGGCGTCTTGGCGCTGGCGTGGCACGGTGCACTTGTTGTATCCCGCTACTAGCTCATCCTAGACTCTGGATAATTAATTCGTGAAGACGAATTAATTATTATTCCCAGCTATTAAATTAGTTTTAGGACTATTTATAGTTGATTATCTCTGATCTGTGTATCTCACGGTTTTATGAAGTGAGATTAAGGCTTTCCATAGTAAACTTACAATTATAATATTGTTGCGCGCCTAAGTTGACGTCTGGCACTAGCGCCATCTAGTGTCGGGTAACAGAGCGAGGAGAGCTTTCCAGAAAATGACATGACTAATCTTTTAACCAACAGCGCCATCTAGTGTCGAATTGAAGAACTAAGCTTTCTAGAAGCCTTACACTCGAACTTTCTGCGTCTGGTCGGTCGTTCGGAGCCCGTATACGGGAATATTCTGGATGTTTCGACGTAAAAGTGTATTTAAACCCGCTGCATGCCGCGATCGGAGCAGTATTGAATTTGGCGAGACAAGCGAAGCTTCGGAGCGAAATAAAGTGAATCAGTGTGATTAATTATTAGTGTCTTTTAAGTTTTAATCAGTGTTCGGTAATTAAAATGTTAATTTTGGTATTTTTATTGTCACGAATCCTAAGCTCGTAGCAATTGGTGTCAGAAGTGGGATAAAATTATGCCGATTTTACCTAAGGAGGAAACGGAGGGTGAAGTCAACGCCAGCAGTAGACGGACCAAAGAAGATTTGGTGGTGCAACGCCGCAGAAGTCGGAGGGCCAGCCGCCGGCTGCAACCCGCCAGTAGCTCCTACATCTGCAGCACCTGACTTAGGTGCTCTGATGGTGATGCTACAGGAGCAGGCTCGCCGACAGGAGGAACATGCCCGTTGGTTGAAAGAGCAGCAGGAGGAACAGGCTCATCGGCAGGAGGAAGAGGCACGCTGATTGGAAGAGCAGCTGCGGGGCGGACAAGAGGAACAGGTCCGTCGTTTGGAAGAGCAGCTCAAACGCGATAAGGAAAAGCAGATGCTCCTCATGAAGGACATCCACGCTACCTTCGGAATAGAGATACAGGAGGTGAATGATAAGATTGCTCAACATGACAACCGCCTGTCGGAAGCTGAAACCCGAATCGACCAAGTAAACAATCTGGTTGACAACGTAATGGCTGACATGAAGAAATCACTGGACGAACTCAAACTTGGGGATGGAACTACAGTTCCCGTAGTAGCTACAACACCCTCGCTACGTGGATTCAAAGTGCCGCCGTTCGACGGGACTTCTTCCTGGTCGGCCTACAAAATCCAGTTCGAGGCTGTTATGAAGGCGAATGGCTGGAATAAAAGTCAGGCCATGACTGCTCTCACACTAGGCCTGCGCGACCAGGCCTTAACAGTTCTGGAAGCTCTCGGTGAGAAAGTGACTTATGAGCAACTTCTTGAGGCATTGGAGGCGAGATATGGCGATGCTCACCTGGAACACATTTTCCGTGCGCAGCTTAAAGATCGCGTGCAGCGCCTCAACGAAAACCTGCAGCAGTGGGCTCTAGAGGGGGAGAAGCTGGTGCGAAAAGCATACCGGTCTGTGCCTTTTTTTTTTTTTTTTTTTTTTTTTTTTTTTTTTTTTATAGAATAGTGACAAACGAGCACACAGCCACCTAGGTAGTGTTGCTGGGCCCATAGACATCTACATCTATCCTCCATTAAAAATCAAAATGCAGATGCTTGTCACCCGTGAGGCTGAGAGGATTCATAGGGTATCACAAGCATATTACTTCCCGCGACCCATTCGTGCTACAACTATACTACTAATATAACTGCAGCATGGCTCTACCACGTAATGCGCTCATTGAAGGGAACCTGGTGCAGACATTTATCGACGGCATCCATGACCTTGAAGTCAGAGCTGCTGTGAGGCTCGGGCACCACGAGACGCTTAATGACCGCCTTGGCTCATGCACTGGAGGTGGAAGCCGTGCGGCAGGATCATCGTTCCCATCGCGTCAGGGAGGTTGCAGCAGCTACAGTTCGCGACCGCAATATTGGATACAGCCCTAGGTGCTATGGCTGTGGGGAAAGGGGCTATCTTCGATCCAGCTGCCCTAAGCGAACTGTAGAAAGGGAAGTTGATCGATCTCGAGAGGGTAGTGCAGCTAACGGCACCGCCTGGCGACGGCAGGATCATCGTTCCCCTCACGTTAGGAAGTTTGCAGCAGTTACGGTTCGCAACCACAATAAAAATTACAGCCCAAGGTGCTAAGGTTGTGGGGAAAGGGGCCATCTTCGATCCAACTGCCCTAAGCGATCTGTAAAAAGGAAAGGTGATCGATTTCGAGAGGGTAGTGCAGTTTGCAGTACCGCCCAACAGCAGCAGGAATACGACTTTACTGTCGGACACTACAGCGGGAAATTGCGAGGCAACACAGATGCATTGTCAAGAAGACCTTATCCTGATGATTGCGAGAGGGTAAGGAAGTGGTATCCGTGAGGACGCTCAGGACAGACCACCTCAGCAACGAGTGGAAGGACAGATTACAACATACACAGCAGGAAGAGCCGGACATCAAGCAGATTCTGGAATGGATGAAGGCCCGTGCTACCAAGTCCAAGTGGAGCGACATCTCAGCGATGAGTTCGACCACTAGAAGCTATTGGGCCCAATGGACAGCTTGCTGATTCAGGATGGAGTCCTGTGCCGTAATTGGGACAATGTTCGAGAAGACAGCTGTCGTTTGCAAATGGTTGTCCCTAAAGCTAAAGTACCGGATGTTCTACAGCTGTACCATAATGATTGTTCAGGAGGCCATCTGGGAGTTAAACGAAATCTACTGAAGATCCGAGAACAGTTTTACTGGGTCCATTATCGTGACGATGTCGAGGACTAGTGTCGCACGTGTACAAGTTGTGCAGCTGTGAAGAGACCTCAGACTCGTAGTAGAGGAGCATCGAAATTGTACAATGCTGATGCACCATGGGAGAGGACAGCCCTTGACGTTGCGGAGCCGTTTCGAAAAGGCAGCAACAGGTACTCCTAAGATCGTCCATGTGGGTCGACTGGCACGTGATTATGGGACCGATAATGCTCGGGACGAGCATGTCTTAGGAGTGGGCAGTGTTGCGCGCCTAAGTTGACGAGCGAGGAGAGCTTTCCAGAAAATGACACGACTAATCTTTTAACCAACAGCGCCATCTAGTATCGAATTGAAGAACTAAGTTTTATAGAAGCCTCACACTCGAACTTTCTGCGTCAGGTCGGTCGGCGCCCGTATACGGGAATATTCTGGATGTTTCGGCGTAAAAGTGTATTCAAACCCGCTGCATGCCGCGATCGGAGCAGTATTGCATTTGGCGTAACAAGCGAAGCTTCGGAGCGAAATAAAGTGAATCAGTGTGATTAATTATTAGTGTCTTTTAAGTTTTAATTAGTGTAAAGTGAATTAAAGTGTTAATTTTGGTAATTCTATCGGCAATTTTTATTGTCACGAACCCTAAGCTCGTAACAATATCTTCCTACATACACTATACAATAAAAAAAAAAAGAAAAATTCAGGGTATTTTAATAAAAATAAATTCTCCTAAGTGGCATTGCTCTGGATCATGGATGTCCCATTGTCATACACCTAATAGTCTATGGTCGAACAGTCGCGCAGAGTAATAATAATAATCATTTATTGACAGACAACAAAGGTTCTTAAAAAACATAAGTACTTATAAACAACAATAATAAAAATATTGGAATAAATTAAAATAGTACTGAAATACAAAAATAAATAAAATAAGCCAATCTGTAAGTTGCGAATCGATCCAACTCTCTATTGGACGTAATGGAGTGTTCGGTTTGTGTATTTTTGGTAACCAATACAACTTTAGAGGTTTGGCAAACGCATGTATCATCGAATTAACGTCTAGATTCAATTTCTCGGAGTATTTCTTATTTAGCGATCTTTTTAAGAAATACCTCAATAAAATTCTGGGACTGAAAACGCTTCAACCAACCTAATTAATATAAACAACGATGATAGCCCAGTTGGATTAAAAGTACAGAATAATAGTACTACGTACAGAAATTGCTTCCTTTTTTTATTCGGTAATGATTGCCGCTAAAGAATTAAAAAAAAAATGGAGATACGATTAGTAGTTTTATTGTTTCTAGAGTTAAAGGTTCATCATAAATTTTGCAGTACGCGAGCAGTTCTAGTTCGATCCCAGCCAGCCAATGATATTGTTAATTGCAATTTTAAGTGGTAAGAATTGTCGAATATTCGTCATCGACTTTTACTAAAAGGTTTTTTTTTTCAGTAAAGCACTTACATTTCTGCAACTGAATATAATAATAGTGTCATAAATATAATAAAATTCATAACATCTTTTTTTCAGGAGTATGACATCACCTGTTAAGGTGATCCATAGATCCAGACCTCAAGGAAGAGTTGACAGCAGCAGGCGAAGAAGCAATTCCCTCAGTAATGGTATGAGTAATCATATATTAATGTTACGAGCTTAGGGTTCGTGACAATAAAAACTGCCGATTGAATTACCAAAATTGACACTTTAATTACCGAACACCAATTAAAACTTAAAAAACACTAATAATTAATAACACTTAACACTTTATTTCGCTCCGAAGTATTCGCTTGTATCGTCAATTCAATACTGCTTCGGTGGCGGCCCTAAGGGCTTTATATAGGCCTTTTCCACCGAAACATTTAAAATGTTCCAGTTCCAAATACCAGTCCCGACCGACTAGGTGTAGAAAATTTGAGTGTGGAGTTTTCTAGAAGGCTTAGTTCTTCTATTTGATAATAGATGGCGCTAGTGCCAGGTACTAGGCATCAACTGCGTAACATTAATATAGAAACTTGTACATCTTAGAAATCATATATGTATATATTTCGTATACATGTGAAGTATGTCAACATGTATTGTAGAGTAGCTAAGCGGACTCTATTAGCAGGGAATCCTACAAAATTATTCTTATTGATTGTAAACTGCTATTTAAGACTACTTTAATGGGGCACCTACAATTTTTTCACTTCAGTCCTCATTTGCAATTTTCATACGGACTCTCGCATACCTCTTCCCCCCACTTAGCCTGTCTTTTTAATCCAATTCCGCACTTATATAACGATAAACTTTTCGTGAAGTGTGGTTAACTGCTTGCCTAGTTCCTGTGCCGATTGGTAAAGCACTACGGTACGTACTAAAACTAAAAAAAACTACTATCTTTTAGTATTTCCTAAATATAATTTCCTTCACTTTCATATCTATAACTAACTTTTTATAACTGAAGTGAGTAGAATAATTACTATTAAATATCGCTACGTGGGTGTCGCAAGAGGCGGCAAAAGGAAACGAATCAGGCGATAGGCAGCGGCATCTCCCAAATAACTACTAAAAATAAAAAAACTGCAGTTGCCAACCCTCTTGCCAATCGTGGCAACTATGACTTTATAATCTACGTTGAGTTCATGTTACTTGGTTTGAATTTTTTTAACCCAAGGCTTTCTCAGTGAGCGTTGTCAAAGCTAGTGTGAATATGCTCTGAGCTATACAATATCGATGTCCAACATCCACATTCCAAACACAGTAACTGACTTTAAGTCTACAAATAACTATACAACTAATTATCTATCTACATTTTTTTATTAAAAATAACTGTGTGATCAATCCCGCATCTCGTTGATTTGAAACATGCTAAAATTATAGCTATTTTTATATCATGTATCACTTTCGTTTAACGTTGCAGATGTTTTCTTAGAAAAGTCGCTTTAAAAGTGAGCTATTTAACAGGTATAATATATAGCTTCAACATCAGCTGCAATAACGCTAAAACAACAAAAACAATAAGCGGTGAATGCACTTGATCATTACTACATTGCAAATGTCTGCCCTATGAGGCAGTCTATGGGGGAGGTCCATGGTACCACAGATATATGGAGTCGATTATCCACAATCGATTTACATAATATCAAAATCTGCTTGAAACCATTTGACGGCTCCGTGGCGCAGTGGCTTAGCAATGTGTGGCCGCGCTGGGGGTAGCAGGTTCGAATCCCGCACGGAACAAGTATTTGTATGGCCTACAAATAATTGTTCCGGGTCTGGATGTTTGTCCTTGTGCAATTTAAGTTTGTAAACTGCCCGCACGATACAGGAGAAAATCCTAGTGTAGGGGTAACGTTATTTAAATAAAATTGAAACATTGAAGTTGAACCATTATTTGAAAGAAATACTGGAGCAGAAATTCGCTCGGCGTTTAAGTTTCCGCCAAAATTCTCTTTTTTCTTTGAATGATAGGTTGCTTGTCGTCAGGTCATTCGCCCGGACGGCAAGTGAGCACCGTTGCTGCGAACACGTCGCTGATGGCGCCGCTGCGCGCGCGGCAGGCCGCCACGCTGCGCGCCGAGCAGCGCCGCGGAGCAGCAGTAGCAACCTCGCTTTCTGTTAGGGACCCCCCCATTTTCGTCGACTACGAACGACAGGTCTGGTGCGTGAGTATATACTTGAAATCTATTAGATTTTAGTTTAATTAAATTTGTTAATTTATATCATTTGTTTTATATTGTTACGACAGCAAGTTGCGTATTGTGTCACATTGCACGAGAATGTGAAAGGGCCAGTGAACTATTAAGACCGATTTACACTTCAACAAGTACAGTAGCGAGTTTAGTTACAGGACAGTTGACAGTAAACGGTTAAGTGGGCAGTAGCGTTCAAACAATGTCTTCGTGGCGAGTTTAGTTAAGGACATTAGTTCATAGAGTTTGTTGGAGTATGACGTTTCAAGACTACAGAATTTTTTCTGGTTTTCGCTTAAGATGGTTCTAGAATTACGTCAAGAATTAAATGATCCAGTTAGAGAAGTATTAATGATTGATTTTAAAGAAGTTTTTAAGAATTTTCATGAGTGCAGCATCTCGAGCAGGTTTAATTTTACAATTTGAACTTCTACTATTATATAAACATTCGTGTTCTAAATACTCCTGTACGAATTTATACGTGATATCTTTCGTCCATTTTATTATTAAAACTCAATATATAACGTATAAATATTCAATAAACAGTATCGTACAAACTTTGTGGCGTTTCATTATAAAAGTACAATTGTACGTTTTGGCGCGCAAACGTTGCGTCCTGTCAACTTATGCACTGAACTAAACTCGCTCGTTTACACGAGCGGCGAGCACGAGCACTTCGCGCTTAACTCGCCGAAAAATAGCTCGGCAGGCTATCCCGTTCAACTTATCGTTAACTTGCTACTTAACTCGCTTGTTGCCGTTCAAGCGAGGTTCAAACTTAACTCGCCAGGTTCGGAGGTTAACTCGCTACTGTACTTGTCGAAGTGTAAATCTGTCTTTAATGCAAGCAAGAAACAACCTTATGTATACTAATATAAAGCCTTTTCTCATTTATATATTGTTATCGCGGGTGTTCTAGAACTTTCTGGTTGAAAGAGTGGAATAACCTGCATTGACCTAGAATGTTCTATATTCCTTTTATCGAGAATTAGTTATTTCGGGAACTCGAAAGTGAACTCTAATTCAAAAAGCGACTACGAGAAATCAACCATCGACATATGCCATTATTAAGGACCTTGCCGTAGTAGTTTAGTGAATTAGGACGACGTAATTATATGCTTGCTGTGTGTGTGTGTGTGGTAAAATACATCCATTTCTCACCCTAATCGGGCATTTAGGTCACCCCGCACGCAACAATATAATTTACCAAATACATTGGAGCGATATTGTTTCGTAAATAATGTCTCCTATATTTGAAGAAGGATGCTAATTTTAATGTTTTATACTAGTTTTCATTAGACATAACACTACGTATCTTATGTTGGAGGTCATTAATATATAAGTAAATAAATATGCAACAAACAGGCAACCAAAAATGACATTAATATGTTTGTTTGCATATAATACTGCCATTTTCATCATCATCATTACAGCCCTTCACAAGTCCACTGTTGAACATAGCCCTCCTCTAAGGAATGCCACAAAGCACGGTCCTGAGCCACCTGCATCCATCGACTTCCTGCATGTCTTACCAGGTCGTCACTCCATCTATAGGGGGGGTCGCCCTACACTACGCCTACCGGTACGAGGCTGCTACTCGAGAACCTTTCTTCCGCATCGGTTATCAGTACTATTTTGGCAGTAATGATTTATTATTTACCAGTGATCCGCCCAGGCTATCGCACGGGTGATTTCTGGATCTCGACAACAGCGCCACCTACCGGATATGATTGTGGACCTAAACCGTCCAGGCATCCACTCAAATACACACAAAAAATTCCTTTAATAAATTTTTTCAGTCGAGCCATTTTCGAGTTTTAGTGAGACTAATAGACATTTGATTTTTTTTATAAAATTTTTCATAATAGCCTATCAAAAATCCGCTGCTAAACACAGGCCTACATAGATTGTTTCATAGGAGAGATATTAACTTTAGTTGCTCGTTTAGTAGACAGACAGACAACCTTTCTATTTTTTTTTTGAGAAATATGAAAAAAAAAATATTTCGAATACATGTGAAGTTCGCCAATTGGGGCAGCATGGCGGCCATTTCCTTGCCCTACAACCCACTAAGAAATGAACGGAGGCCTGTGCCCAGCGGTGGGACATATATAGGCTGTAACTTATATTTTATGCCTGTTTCAAATAATAAATCAGAGTTATATGAGTTAGACATTAAAGCCCTACCTCTATAATTCGCGTTTAAAGTGTGCATAAATATCTAGCAACATTTTTATTTAAAAGAATTTTAACAATGCTATAAACATTACTAATATTCCCCTTAACCACTCGTGGTAAGCTTAAATTGCTTGTGTTAAGAGTGGTTCACGCCAGTAGTCGAATGGCGGATTCGAACCCACGACCATTTTGAGTTCGCGGTCCGCGCCCTGCCATTAGGCTACTGTCAACTTAAATTTTAACAATGTCAAAATTTTCAGGATTGCCCGTTGGGGTGTGAATGGGACTCGTTGCGGAGGACGCACGGGAGATAGAGTGGCAGCCCTGGCGGGCACGCAACCTACAAACGCGGCGCACGCAAGGTTGCTACTGAAGTCCTCTCATACTCCACTCGTGAGTTATTTTGCTCATCTGTATTAATTATTATAAAAAATATTTTTTTTCAATGCAATGTATAGTTGCAAATATACGTGTAGTGGCGTTTTAAGAATATCCACTACTCCATATCATCCCGTGGGTGTAAGAGGCGACAGATTGAATTAAATCAGGCGACGGGCGGTAGCATCTTCGTAATAACGGCATAAAATTAAAAAACTGCAGTTGAGAACCAACTATGGTAAATATCCCCTCTAAATCTCTCTCCTCCACAATCTATGGAGGATGCGTATGTTGACTAGTGGACTTTACGACACTAATACTACCCTGAACGGTATAGTTTTCAGATTGGCTTGTGGTGTACATAATGGTTTCTTATATTTACGCGAACGCTATTTTTACGGATTTTATCGCGTATATTTAACTATAAATACCCGACGTTTCGAGCACTTTACAGCATCCATGGTCACGGGGGAGACTGAGATGTTCAACATCTAGATGTCATAACTAACCACGGTTACCATAGATTAAAATTATTAATTTTTGCTCTGATCTATGCAGTATTAACTCATGAACTCCCTCTGCAAGATGCAGGAGTGTACAAGATCGATTGTGAATGTGGTCTCTCCTACATAGGACAAACTAAAAGATCAATTAAAATCCGCGTTAAAGAACATATAGCTGATGTGAAGAATCGACGCTCCGGGAAGTCTGTGAACACATACAGGACCGCCCCATCACTACATCAGTGTACATACATACTACATCACTACATCAGTGTACATATTACATCATCATCATCTTTATTTCATAGACTACAAATTCTCGCTAAAGAACATCAATCCCTTCCAAACATTCATCAAGCTTCATGGATATCAATAATTAAAAAAAATTAACTTATTTTTATTGTATAATTGCTTCCAGGTTGACATATTATTTCACCGTGTGCCGCTTGGAAAGATCTATGTTATAAGCAAACGGGATCGGGAGAGCATAGGTGAGTATTTTTAGTTATATATAAGTTGTTGTTTATGTTGTAGAGCCATGCTGCGGCTATATTATGGTTGTAGCACGAATGTGTCGGCTCGATCGGGGAAGGAACACGCTCTTACAATTACTAGCGTAAAATAACAGCTTAAGAGGGCATATGCGTTTCGCGTCGAAAACTACATGTTTTATGGTTTTTCCAAAGGCGATATCATAACGACGTGAGGAGATTATTTGCTAAAAATTAGGGCTTTAGAAAGATGAAGTCTTTATTTAGTACATAGCAATGGAAAATCATAGTTTTTAATGACAGTTTTTTAGGGCGAAGACAATCCCTTCACAGTGTTTTACGAAAATATGCATCAGAGTTATCTTTCAGGTTGAATACAACCATTATTATAAGCTAAAATACTTTATTTTAAGCGTTATTATAATGGAATATATAGTCTTTTAGTGTATAGCAAAACCTAAATTATAAAATAATATTATAAAATCACCAAAACTGTCTACTTCAATGTAATTTTTTCCATGTATTTGCTTATAAACATATCTATTTTAATATTTTTTTATCAAAATACATGTAATGTTAAATATCCAAAAAAAAATTTAGCTCGTTTTATTTTGTCAATTATTTTATATAATTATTTTAAAAATACTATAAAACATCATGCGCAGGCACTGTTCGATTCAGTACGCTCCGGGTAATCCCAACGACAGGACGTATCACTTTTTCTCACCGACACCGCGCGATCGCGTTGATACACCGATAGGGATATACTACACTATACTATAACTAGCTACCTATAGCACCATGGCGCATTTTAAACGATTGAGACTTTTATAAGCGATGTTTTTGGTAGTAAGTAATTTTGAAATATGTTTATGATTGTAATATTTAAATATTAAATGATGTAATGGTGACAAATTTTCATTTCATTCATATTTTTTTAGAAATGAGTAATGAACGTAAGCAATTCGGATCAAGTAAAAATACAAAATCGTTGGCTTTCACCTTTGGCTCCGTGGCGGTGTGACTTGGTAATGAGTTGTAGCGCTGAGCGCCGCATGTTCGAATTCCACATTGAGTAAAAATTTGTATTACCTACAAATAATTGTTCCAGTTCCAGGTCTGGATGTTTGTCCTTGTGAAATTAATGTATTTAAACTGCCCCCACGATGTACTTAGGAAAAATTACTAGTGCGGAGATAACGTTATGATTAAACAAAGGCATGCCATCAAAAACATAACTTGTATAATAACCAAGTCTCGCAATGATGATACGGTCGTGCCGCTGTTTTGCTCGACTTGGCGTAGTGCCCCCAGACATAAAACATGAGCCGTCCTTGAGTTGAGTAGCTCAAGGTCGTAGTGCTCGCCGTAAACGCGAACAATCCGGGCTCGATCGCCGCTAGTGTTGCCAGGTGTCCCGATTTGCGCGGGACGTCCCGATTTTCAAGGGTCTAGTGACATGTCCCGATTCACCCTTGATCGGGACGCCAAATGTCCCCATTTTCACTAACATTCTTATTCTATACTTTAATCCATAATTTAGACAGCAAAAATGATTATATCTGTTAGCTGCTACCACATTAAAATATTTTTACTACGACATTGTCTCACTAGTGGAAAAAAACCACAAAAGTTTTAAACAGAATTATATTAAAATGAGTGATTTGAAAAATTCAAGGACTGCAAAAAAAAACGAATAGTTCAAAAATGTTTTAATTTGCTTAAAATGAAAAACAAAATCAGTTTTTACGATGTTTGGATGAAAAGTTATTCGTTTATGAGATCAGACCCGAATAATAATTATAAAGCACAAAAATAAAGTAAAGTTACAGTCACAATTTTTCGCATTACTCGCATATGATATTTACACTTTACAGTTAGCGTTGACCATCTAAGCTACCACGGCTCTCAATAAAGCACAAAAAGGCTACAAAGAAACCTATATTTTGTAGTCATTGTAGTTGTCCGGATATGAAAACCAAATCCCCGATTATTTTTACCTTCCGTCCCGAAATTTTACTTGCTAGACCTGGCAACACTACTCCCCGCCGACACTAATGAAATTGTTAGTTTGTGATGAATTATGTTTACATTATGAAACAGAATAAAAGTTTATCAAATGATATATATTTTATACAATACATATTTTTCAATTAGAACATATACATATTATAATATACTCAATAGGGTGAAAATGTAAAGCCGACTTCAATTTACTAAAAGAATAAAACAATTTCCACATATTAGCCTCCGATTTCTATACACTATATAAGCCATTATATAGAAATAATTTTTTTTATTATTTTAGTTCCAATAGTATCAAAGACAGGTATATAATCAAAGATCAAAGTGATTCGTAGTCGTCGTTAGGCAACTATTATAGCCTCACGCTCGCACTGACACGCACACAGAGATAACATTGTAGTGTGCGTCATTATTACGCCGATCCAAAGCGATCGCGTAGATTTCGACTTGGACATATTTGAATATGCGCTCTTAAGGAGAAATATTGGAAATACTACCTCAAATGGCTTAGCAAGATCCTCCATTATGCCGAAAATATTGCAGCATTAATTTTGAAATAAATATAGGATTAATGTTAAGTAATATGTTAGACGAAAACACGATTCCGTAAAATTTTCTCGACAGAAAAAAATCCAAAGTTACCTCCGAACTGAACAATAAACCGCTGTTATTCATAAAATACTTTAAATTAGATCATGAAACTTTGCATACTAACTGAACTAACTATAAAGCAGGGCTTATGTTTATTATTTTTTTAAATTACCATTATTATCTCTGTAAAAAGAAATTATCTAAACTATCGGCGTCTTGAAGCTTGTTTCCTGCCGCGCGGTTAGTCTCGCTTCGGCATTTGAACGGGGAAGCTGTGTCATTTACGATCAGAATACACATTACGCAACAGGACGACGTAAAATTAAAATGGGAAATAACCGTGATAAATATAAGAAGCGACTGGGTTGCCGTAACGAAACAGACATAAATATGATAAACCTAATGAAATAAGTATCTAACGACCTATCTACTTACAGTATTAGTGATTACAAACATGTCGGTACAGATCATACGACGCGCGTTGAAGTGGGGGCGAAATTAGAATTTAGTTACTATATCCCCTTAATGCTGTTTTGTTTTGTATAATGAGTGAAGAGAACCGGAGACTCACCTTTTTACTAGAAATGAGGGCAACGCAGATGTCTATGGGTCACAGCATCCACCTACCGTCAGGTGGACTGTGTGCTCGTTTGTCACCCATATTCTATAAAAAATCAATTTCTATGATTGAATTTCAGGTATAAAACTGGACAACGAGTGTGTGGTGACATCAGTGTTGGGTGGATCCAGTGCATCTCGAGCGGGGATCCCCCCTCCCGGGAAGTGGGCAGTCACAGAGGTCAACAACCGCACCATCGACCTGATTAAGGCAAGCATTTATAACTTACAACTTAAATACACCACTATAAGTTATCTTGTGGGTACATGCTCATCATTACAGCCTATAAATGTCCACTGCTACATAGTGTAGGCCTCCCCCGTAGGTTGCCTCTTAGAGCGGATATTTGCCATAATTGCCACACTTGGTAAACGGGTTGGCAACGCAACTTTTTTCTTGTTTAAAACGCGGCTCCCGGTTTGTTTTCCACTGTCGACTCTAACGACAGACAATATGGAGTAATAGATATTCTTACACCGTCACTATAGGGTTAATGGTACATGATATCTGAAACCAAATTCAAAGGAGGCTATTGTCCATCGAATACGAGTTGTAGCCACTATCATGTCACTAATATGTCAATTCACACCTGTAAATGTCAACACAATCAATCGTTTTCAATTTTCGTGTCAAACGTTACATGCAAATTATTTAAAAAATGGCAAATTATGCAATAATTACGTGTCGTGGTATATATATTGACGACGTAATTGCTTGTTTGTGTGCTCCCGGCGACGCCGATCCTCGTACAAAATAAGGTTGACAGCCATTCAATTGTGTATTATAGTATATATTGTCTATAAAGTAATAGTCGCTGTCGACGCGCTGCAAGCGAAACACACCGAAGCCTAAATCACGCTGTCGAAATTCCGAATCATAAACAGTATATATAGAACATCTCCGAACTATCACACGGAGCGTTGGCCGCTCCCCGGGCAGAACACCTTGCCCGGCGGGAGATCTCCCCTTTTCCTTCCACGGCCACAGTGGTGACCCCGACGTGATCTGAATACGCCACCAACAACCTTCGGAAACTTCAAGCTTCCTCATCGTCATAGAATACCCCACCCATTCGCTCCCGAGCTAATATCGTCTGCAGTTTTCATATCGTTCGGCACGGCTCTGAGCCTTACTGCTCGCCTCTGCTTCACGGCACTCTCGCAGATTACTTGCCTTCATCTCTACTCACTGCAGACTAAAAGGCAATCTCCTGGCACTTGCACATTCGTCGGCAACGAGGTTGCACTATCGACCTCCGGTCTGAGCAGGGGGGTGATGTGGCGGCGCTATGGCACATTCAAGTTGTATGAGAGACTTCTAAATGGACATGAATACTTTGATTGTATCTATATGTATCTATATATATACATAGTAGTAAGTATATTGACAGAGTACTTATTGATTGGTATTTATGTATTTATTTACTTACAAAGTGCACAACAAAGTCGTATAAATCGCAAAAGATACTTTCTTTTCTTTTTGTGTTTATGGTGTTGTTATGTTTGGTAAAATGAACCGTGACGTGGTGAATATAAAATGAACGCTGATTGACGGGTTTAATTAAAATAAAAGTCTGTGATAATGATAATAAAAAGATTTAGTTTTCTTCCTAGAATTTTTACAAAAGTATTTGTGGAATTACTTAGAACAATGACAAATACAGGTATAAACATGACAGTACAATGATGAGCTAACAGCCTGAGTGCTGTGTTTTTTATGTATTATATGTATTAACCCTTCAATTGTCATAAAAATCCGGCGAATACCGAGCGGTCGCATGCGACCGCACCCACCCACAGCACTTAAAACCATTAAAACTTATAAGTATTTAAGGAATACTTTTTTATGAAAAAGTTTGGCATTATAAAATCTATACAAAATTCTCTATCCTGTGGTCTAAACAAAAGTCAGGTTTAAGTTCATTACAAAAAGATTTTATGTACTTGATAACAAAAAAAAAAAACATACCAAGCGAATGTCGGCAGCGTGAAAATGATAATTGTATTTCAATATATATTACTGGAAATTATTTACATAAAAAGATAAATTATATTCACACAAAAACTTTATAACAATTTTATAATAAAATACTATACAAAACTAATAAAACACTAGAAGAATCTAAAAATCAAATAACATTCACGCGAAAATGGCGTACGAATTGAACGTTGATTATAAATAAATATCCAAAAGATAACAGTTTTTTTATTGCACTAGAGGATAGAGCCGTGGTCGTCATACTGCGGCCCGCGCGGGATATTTACTCCGCTCACGGCAAATTAAACAAATTTAGGAAATTTATCAAAATATCTAATAAACATATCAAGTAAACTAAATGGAAGTACGCGGGTAATTATAAACTTCTTCCTGCAACTTGCTCTAAGTGAGCGGGTTGCAGGTAGTGTTGTCGCAATAAAGCGATACAATTTATTTCGCCACTATACAAGTAAGCACATTTCATTTACTGAAGACTTTCCTTTGGAATCAAATTGCAATTCATCGTCAACAAAATATGATGACGACAGCCGTTGGATAAAACGAGGCCCTTACGAAAGAATTTTACCAAGTTTGTTAAATGCTTGCAAAAAAGATGAAACCTTTCACTGATGCTGAATTAATAAAGGAGTGCATGTTAACTGTTTCTCCGACTTTGTTTCAAAAATTTTCAAATAATAAACAAATAATGGCGGAAGGAAAAAAAATCTTACGCTTTCTGAATCAACCTGCCGACGCCGAGTTGAAGATTTGTCAAAAAACATGTTTGAGGCAGTAATTGATAGGTTGAAAAACTGCAAATACTTTTGTTTTTCTTGCGTGTGATTCTGGTACGGATATATCTATGTCTCAGTGCTCATTTTTGTGCGGTACTGCACTATAGACGGAATTATCGAAAAAGACTTTTTAACCGTCGTAACCATGAAAAGCCATACGAGAGGTTGTGATTTTATGGACGCTCTGAAATAATTTGTCCAAAAGTAGGGTTACCTGTAAGTAAATTGATATCAGTATGTACTGATGGTTTTCCGTCAATGTTGGGCGCAAATAATGAAGAGAGAATGTAATCTACATAATTTGCTGCTCATTCACTATTTACTGCATCAAGAAACCCAAGAAATTTCGAACAATAAATTTAAGGACTTAATGCGTATTGTTGTACAGACCTACTTGAGGAATTACAGGCTTATTGTGCTGATATTACCATGAAGTTTAATAATCTTAATTTAGAGTCGCAGGGGCCTAACAAGATAATCGGACAATGACGAAAAAAATATGTCAATTGATTGGTGGCATCAACTAAACAATCCAAGAATGTGCGGCCAGCTGTGATGCCTCACATTCTCCTGTGTGGCCCTTGACCAGATAAGTGTGACGACCACTGGGATAGAGTATTTCATATTGCTTATATAATGCCAAACTTCTTCATAGAAAAGTAGTCTCTATATATTAGTTTTTATGGGTTAAAGTGCTATGGGTGGGTGCGACCTCATGAGACCGCTAGGGTTTTGACGGAATATGGCCGCAGTCTCATGAGACCGCTAGGGTACACCGTCAGTCACCTCAGTCCCCCGTGACCATGGGTGCTGGAAAGCACCCGAAACGTCGGGAATTAAAAATAAAAATAATTAAAATTAAACGCGATAAAAATCCGTGAAAGTAGTTTTAATTAATGTGTGGTGTTCGCATAAATAAAAAGAAATCATTATGATCTATCTTATCATTTTATCCATTTCATTAAAAAGAAAGAACCAAGTTTTACAAATAAAATAAAGCTTAGATCACTGCTGGCATTGCTTAGATGCGCAGATAGATGGCCAGTCGCCACTGAGGCTGGTCATCGTAACTGAAGTTTAGGCCGGAGAACATAATTACTATGTGTCTTTTTTCCAGGGGGGTGAAGAAGAAATGAACAGACTGAGTTTACACGGAACTGAAGTGTCCATACTCATCCAACCAGCAGCTTTGGTGAAGAAACTGCGGGCAGCTATCAAGTCCAACAAGTCCTTATTAGCGATTAGATAAGGTTCAGAATCCAGTGCAGTTAATAGTTCAGTGAGCTTATTAACCTTCCATAGTTATAAAATTGAAAATATATAGTGTCAACAAAAGTCATATCAAACTTGGAGAGATGTTTTGGCAAAAACTTCTTTATCAACTTTAATTATTATTCTAACTTTATTTATCGTCATTATACGTGGTAGAGCCACGCTGCAGCTATATTATGGTTGTAGCACGAATGGGTCGGCTCGACCGGGGAGAGACCACGCTCTCACAGAATACCAGCTTAAAATAGCAGCTTAATACTGCTGTTTCATATGGTGAGTGTATAGATCCGGAGACTCATTTTTACTGGAAGCGAGTCATTCCATCTTAGTCCTCAGGGGCATTTGCGCTTTGATTCTTAATCGAGGATAGATGTAGATGTCTCTGGGCCACAGCATCCACCATAGAATACTATAATACATACATAATAGAACAGGGGAGTGGGTGGAGCCCGTGTAGCCACTAACATGTCACTAACACGTCAATTCACACGTATAAATGTCAACACGATTAATCGTCGAACAGCGGGAAATGGAATTAAAACAAAGGAGACATTCTACAACCAGTAAGTCGAAACTATTTATATTCTGTGAATATTAGAAACAAAAATAAAGAAATATTTGTGTCAAAAACATTAGTCGTAAGTCTAAAATGTGTTTGTGGTAGTGATAACTGATAATACGACGTAATTGTATGTGTGCTCCCGGCGACGCCAATCCTCCTACAAGGTAAGGTTGACAGCCATTCTATTGTGTATTATAGTATTCTATAGCAACCACTTACCATCAGGTTGACTGTATAGCTAGTCTGTCACCTTTATTCCAATATAATAAATCATAAATTATCTTATAGTGGGGCATATTTGCCACAATTGCCTGCTTGGCAACTAGAGTTTATTATTTTTGAGTTCTCATTACAGTACGTTTGCACTGAGTAATATCCAACACATAATGTTTTGAAACAAATCGCATAAAACAAATCACGCAACATGTTTTATTGATGGTGGCGTTCGCACTCACAAAAACTGTGTAAAATTTTTCAACAAATATTCAAACTTATCTTTCAACATGACAATATTTCTACAAATTTTGTTTTCAAACATTTTGTTTCTGTAGTTATAAAAATATAATATAGTTAAAATATGTAAAGTACATTATACTGTTAAACATATTTCAGTACAACATGCTCTTTGACTATGAAAACGCTTTTTAATACATTGACAGAAAACAACGTTTAAAACATGTTTTTTTGTGAAAATCGCGTCAGTGCAAACTCACGGTTAGGAAGACTCTGCTTCCTTATCTACTTTCAATTATTATTTGTCGCCCCTTACGCCATTCACGGGACGATGTGGAATATTGGATATTCTTGCAATTATATACAAAATACGAACCAACAAAGCATTCTACTTGTGGCTTATATCGCTTCTCTACAACAGGGTTATTAAAATTGATTTTAACCGACCTCAACAAAAAGGAGGAGATACTCAATTCAACTGTAATTTTTATGTGTGTTAACCTCAGAACTTTTCTCTAAGTGAACCAATTTTGATGATCCTTTTTTTATTTGAAAGCTGGTGCTTCTCATGTGGTCCCATATATAATTTGATCAAGATCTGACAGGTAGTTTTTGAGTTATCCTTAATAATGCGTAGAGCCATGCGGTTATATTAGTAGTATAGTTGTAGCACGAATGGGTCGGCTCGACCGGGAAAGGCCCACTCTCTCACAGAATACCAGCGTAAAATAGCAGCTTAATGCTGCTGTGTTTCGTATGGTGAGTGTAGATAACTGGAGAACCCTTTTACTAGAAACGAGGCATTCCACCTGAGTCCACACGGGTGACAACGTATCTGCATTTTTGTTCGTAATCGAGGATAGATGTAGATGTCTATGGACCCCACAGCAACCACTTACCATCAGGTGGACTGTGTGCTCGTTTGTCACCCTATCCTATAAAAAAAATTAATTAGCTTCGAATACATAGATGATGTTATCATTTTATTTATATTGAAGTCGGTTTTATAAAAAATTTAACTATAACACTTACTGTTACTGTCTTAGAAATATTTTCTTTATATCTCCGACATATAGGCTTCCTCAAGATGTTTATCTTTATCGCCATGCGTATGATAATTTAGACTTGCAATTTACAATTTCATTGAAGCTGGCGGAAATCGAACCCGGGTTGTTCGCGTACGTAATATATATTATAATATTGTACACCTGGGTCATATTTAACAAAAATTTTGTGACTTAGAGAAGACCTCAATTTTGAAGTATTTTGTAATTTTTTTTATAATGGCAATATTGCGGGGATATGTCTATCTTCCATTTTATTTACTGTGGATATTATATCCACCAGTAAGCCTATTATCGAAGGCTGGATATATATTTAGATAAATGTACTTTTGTTCATTGTTATGTCATATATTTTTAATAAGCACTATAAATATACATCAAGCATATTAAGATTAAATATGATATAACACCTAAAAAGTGGCAACTTCTATGAAATGTAGCTTCAATTAGAAAAACCAAATACATGTTTTAGATCTAATTTGTGTGATGCATATGTGGACGAAATTATTATTTATTTAAAAATTAAATAAAAGATATCAGACGAAAGCATTTGCAATTTTGACAGCGCTTTCAATTTAGAAAAAGGCCTGTTAATTTGACATATGTCAAATTGACATTTTTTGACATATCCTGTTGAAGTTTCTCCACCACCAAATTACTTTAAATTGATCAAATTTAAAATTATTTAGAACTTCAAATTTATAAAAAAATGTGATGAATGTATTTTAGGATGCAACTTTAGACTGACGCATTATAAATTAATATCTCCCCAAAAGTGATTTAATTATATATTTTAAGGGTTTTTGAAAAATTTTAAAACGTCTGTATTGTTAACCTTCGTAGTAGTATTTTCTTGTTATGCCAATCAAGTAACTGTTTTAGAAAATTTTTACAATTTTTGTGTGATATGGAAAATAAATAACCATTATAATGATTAAGTTACGTATTATACGCCTTCTTAATAACGACTGAACATAAAAAAACTGCACTTGCCAACCCGCGCAAAGGTATATTTATATTTGCATAGTTTGGCAACTATGGCAAATATACCCCCATGATGGCAATATATGGGGGAGGCCTATTTATTTACGATTACGATTTACGACTTGGACCTTCAAGAATAAAGCCAATGACAAAAGGCGAGAGCCCTGGTGTTGCAGTTGTTCATGGACGGCATGGACGGTAGTCACTTACCATCACGTGAACCCAATGCTCGTTCGCCTCCACTTCTATAAAAAAAGTGAATTCTAATAGGCTGTGACGATAGTGAAGTGTGAAGATAATCCACTCCCGATCTGAATATGGTGGATCTAATCGAAGTCAATTGAATAGACCAGTACTAGGGCGAAGTACGGTTAGCAAAGAAATTTAGGAGTTTAGACATTTATTTATTTTTACAATTCGGATTCCTTAGTCTTCTGTTACATTATTTTTAATGTTAAGAGTGAAGAGTGACCATACCATATTTGTCCGAAATATCTTTGAACTGCTGGAATTATTCCACTTGATTGACTTCTCAAAGTTTTACTTTTCTTTCGCCGGCTCCATGGCACTGTGCCTTAGTTGTGCTGTGAGTTCCTACTCTGAGGACTGCTGGTTGGAATCCCGCACGGGAAACCTTACACTACCTTACTTAGCCTACAAATAATTGAACCAGGTATATGCTTTTCCTTGTAAAATGTATGTATGTAAACTAACTCCATGATAGAGGAGTAAATCCTAGTTGTGCGTGTGTATGTTTGGAGTAGGAGTAACGTTTCTAAAAGAAAGAAATCATTATGAGTTTACCGTTACTGGCTATCAAAAGTCTTCTATTGATCTACGCTATATATAGAAATCAATTCAAAAGTCGTCGACGTATTTGTCGTTAGCCCAACTAGACCATACATATACGTTCATCGACTAGTCGATCAACAAGTCAAGTTTGTCGGCTCGTTTACGCGTCAACTTCGTATTGCAGATGTTTAAATTTTAACTCCGTGACGTCGTCTACGGATCGACACAGTTGACATACATAGTCGTAGGCCGTAGACTAGCGTAATGGTATGATGTGTATTACGTCATCTATTATTAAGTTCATGGAGGTTAGAGAACAGGAGAACGATCACTACGTACTAAAGCATAGCCCGCCTGTCCTTGAAAATTGTAGAATGTATAGCGGCGCTGACGTCGGTGAGTAGTGACTGCGAAGTTAGCTGTTTATGAGTACAAGTAGATGAAGTTAGTTGAATAATGTACAAATTTTCTTCGCGGCATTGGTGAGAAAATGTTCATGCTCCGAAATTTTTTAATTTTTGACAAAAAGAAACATTAAAAAATAGAGAAATATTTTATTGTGCGTGGATGTACAAATGGTTTAACATCTGATCGGAAAAATAGACTGAAAATGACTTTTATTGGGCGAACTTAGCGATTGCAGCGCCTCACTTATGGTGTCCATATTTCTGGGACACTATTTTCTACGGCGATCGTTCTCTTGTTCTCTGAATTCCATGATTAAGTTGGCACTTATTTTAATTTGAAATTCTTCATACTTTTTGAGGCTCAGGACTGGCTGAATAGAGAAATATAAATACTCGTATTTACTATTCAGGCGTATTTAGAGATCAACTTATTTTATGTACAATTTTTTTAATATAAGATTTAATTAATATTTTAATTTAAAACCCCGAATTAAAAATTTGCCCAATTATGTTATTTCAACAAACAATATGAACTAATATTATAAGACCACAAACTCGCGTCGGTCGTCGCGTCACTAGTCGAAATGAACCTTATGGTGACTCGATTGTGCCGTTTACGTCGACTAGTCCATTGATCGTTCGTAAACCGTCAACTCGTTGACAGTACGTCGACGGTCGAATTAACTAGTTCGTTCGTTCGACGCCCGTCGCTACT